CGGTGTTTTCATGGTTGTATCTACTGTAGATCCTGGTGCACAGGAGTTGCAGTGGTATAGCCAGTTTGCAGCGGGCTTGTCCCAAAAAAATTAAATGTATTTATTTGTTTAAATTTCAACTCACTATTCAGACAACTTCGAAAAATACCGCCGTATCTGTGATGTGACACCATTTAATTATTTTTCATTTAAACATCAAAATATTTATAAATATGAATAGAAATAGCTGACAATACATTGTCAAAATATATCGACACAATTTCACAACGCGCCCACAAAAGTATCGACATCAACAATCGTTTACCAACACTAGCGACGTGTAATGGACCGGAGTAACTTTCACTGCTCGCCTCAAGTTCCTACATAATGCAAGTACATTACCAACATTATTGAGTACTCGCAAAAACAGTCCACTGCTGGACTGTGGACCTTCTTTCCAATGGAGGGGCTTGCAACGATCCTCTTCCTTTTCTATATGTGACTAGCTATTCCCACGCGGTTTCACCCGCTGCTCGGCTCCATTTGATCGTAGCGTGATTTTTTAGGAAAATTGTAGCTATCTATCAGTGAAAGAATTTAGGCAATCCGACCAGTGGTTCCAAAGATTACCCCCTACATACAAACTTACAAACATACAAACTTAACCTCTTTATAATATTAGTATAGACTAGCAAAACCAAAACCTCCACATATCAAATTTCAATGAAATCGTTAGGCGCGTGGCTTTCCTTCCCACTTTTTTTCAATCAAATGATTTCTCCCGCCCAAGGTAAGGCGAGAGAGAGTGTCAGACTCTTACTGACTAAAAACCCCCCGTTCCTTCTCCTGCTCTGGGCCGAGGTCGCGGTGCCTCATTGCGCTTACCCCGCAACCCCGGCTGAACATCAGCCCTATAGGGCCCCGTCTGTGGTGGTCTATTGACTCCTTGAGGATTATGCTTGGGAGTATTTGTGGCTCAAGCTTAATAAGGTAGGAGAAGGATCGGGTGGTTTTTAGTCAGTAAGAGTCTGACACTCTCTCTCGCCTCACCCGGGGCCGGAGAAGTCATTTTCCCTACACGTTTAAAAGAGAAGTCATATGATCGAAAAAAGTGGGGAGGAAAGCCATGCTTCGGTATGGGTACGGATGGTTCGACCGGACTGATACCACAGCTCACAGAAAACGGACGTGAAACAACCACAGCGTTGTGTTTCGCCGTGTGAAGGTCCAATCCTTCCCCTTCCCCAATCCCTATTCCCTAAAAGGTCGGCAACGTCAACGTTAAACGTCTCTTTTGCTGCGGGTGTCCATGGGCGGCGCTGATTGCTTACCATCAGGTAATCCGTCTGTTCGTTTGCTGACATATCACATATAAAAAATGATAATTATTCTCTCTTTTAAAATATTTTTTACCGAACTGGAAATCGGACTGCACTCCAAAAATTTGTCCAGTTAGATTAACATTTAATTGGCTCATACCTAATGCAAGAATTAATTAATTTTCAAATTAGTATACCTAATATACTTACTAAAAAAAATTATGTATTTTAGTATGATGTAACTATCATAAGCACGTGTATCGTGACCGAGTTTTTTTTCATACAAAAATCTTATTTACTATGTCATACATATTATTAGTGGTCAGGTTTGAGGTCAACTCGATATCCGTGCGGTTAACAATGCTGCAAGGATTAGCAAACTGAAGTGGCACTGGCAGGTGAAGTGTGGGAGAGCCATGCTTTGGCACGAATGGGTCGGCTCGACCGGAGTGATACCACGGCCTCACAGAAACCCGGCGTGAAACAACCCAAATTGTTGTGTTTCGCCGTGTGAGTGAGGTTACCGGAGGCCCAATCCCGTCCCTTCCTCTATCCCTTCCCGATCCTTACATCCGCAACCCTTATCCCCAAAAGGCCGGCAACGCACTCGTAACTCCTTTTGTGGTGCGGGTGTCCATGGGCGGCGCTGATTGCTTACCATCAGGTAATCCGTCTGCTCGTTTGCCGACCTATACCATTAAAAAAAAAGGGGTCACATCAGTCGAAGAACCAATGATCGCTGGGGTAAACGTGTTCTAGATTGGAGTCAGCTAGGTGGACTGACGATATCCGCAGGGTGGCTGGCAGTGGTTGGATGAGAATTGAGAATGGATGAGTTGGACGTCCAGCAGTGGACGACATCAGGCTGATGATGATCATGAACAATTCTGTATGATTGCTGTAGGGTAGAAAATATTCACTACACCACCGCAATTCTTGTCGTGGATGTTACATACCCGTCAAAGCAAAGTAACTTATTTAATACATACCGAACTGCAGCATTCTTTAATAAGCCCTTATCTATATAAAATACGATTTCCAAACTTTTGACAAACGTGAAGATTACCAATATGACTTTTGCCCAGATAAATGTAGGTACTTTCTATGAATATTAAGACACCACTGACATACTCTTAAAACCTGAGGGGAAAATAATCAAATGTATTCTCCCACCCAGGGTAAGGCGAGAGGGAGGGTCAGACTCTTACTGACTAAAAACCCCCGTTCCTTCTCCTGTTTTACGCCGGTAGTTCATTGCGATCGTAAGTAAAACCTGGACTTATCTAAACTAACATTATTGTAAGTTTTTATGTAGGGAGTAATCTTTGGAACCGCTGGTCGGATTGCCAAAATTCTTTAATTGATAGATAGCTACAATGTTCCTGAGTGCTATAGGCTATAAAACATCACGCTACGATAAATGGAGCCGAGCAGCGGGTGAAGTCACGTGAGAGTAGCTATTGACTGCACGGTTGGTGCGGTGGCTGGGTAACTAGCTGCCGTGCAACGTGTCGCGGGTTCGATTCCCGCATGGAAAAATACTTTGTGTGATCCACAAATTGTTGTTTCGGATCTGGGTGTCATGTGTATGTGAAATTGTATGTTTGTAAACGCACCCACGACACAGGAGAAGATCCTAGTGAGAACAAAGTCTTTTATTAAAAAAAAAAACTTATTAACAATTTGAAATCGCCAATCCACTTTGAGCAAGCGTGGTGGTTAATGCTCAAACCTTCTCCGTGTGACAGGCCTTTGCTCAGCAGTGGGGACTTATAGGCTGATGATATTGTTACGTGCCTCGTCAACGTTCCTGACTATGCGGGCTTGGGTTACGGGATTGGATGAAATGAAACACTAATACCGGTTTTCAGACTTTCTATTGCACTTAAGTTACAGCGTCCACGGAGTTAAGTTATCGGCGTTCTTCTTCAGCAGAGTCCGGCCGACTGACACAACTTTGCCGTTCACGCTGACTTAACTCACTTAACTGACTGCACTTCACTATTTCACTGCACTTCACTATTTCACTCACTTTTCTTCTTTTTCACTTCTTCCTTTTCTTCCGAATCACTTTAGACTTAGAAGTCAACTGCCAGCGGTGAGCCGCAGTTCTGCTTATATACCCCCGGTCAGGTTCTGGAATATTCAATTTCGTTATTCTTTTTGATCGTCATGCCTCCAGAACCTTCCAATAATTTCGCTATTCATTTTTATTTATTCTCCTTCTCACTCTTTAATTTTTCATCTCTTTCAAATAATTCCAGAAAGTTCGACAAAACTTCCATCAACTAAAAAACTTCATGTTTACGGCGGGACTCGAACTCGGGGTCTCTGTGGTGTAATCCACACGCCTTACCAATTACACCAACTCGTATTGACAATTCACGACGAAATTTACAATCTCTAGGCAACGTTTGACAACCATCCATTGACGTCATGATGTCAAAGAGTTTGAACCACTTTTCCGTCACAATATGCATGCGCATTTTAGGATGGCGACATGTTTAATACCCGGATCATTTAAATCTATGATTGCGGAAGATAACATAGGTTTTTAAAGCAAAACTAGATTAGATTAAGATTTATATTTTTGCAACCAAAAGCCAAGTAATCAAACCTACACAACTATTTCACAAGACCCCCCTCTCTCAAACGTTAATAATGCAACTTTTAAACGCATCCGAAGGTCAAAGAATGACAGCAAAAATGGACGAAAAATTGGCTGATAGTTCGCTGAAGAACCGAGAGAGCGCGTCTCAAATAGCAATCAGACCAAAGTGTGGGAGAGCCATGCTTCGGCACGAATGGGTCGGCTCGACCGGAGTGATACCACGGCCTCACAGAAAACCGGCGTGGAACAACCACAACGTTGTGTTTTGCCGTGTGAGTGAGGTTACCGGAGGCCCAATCCTTCCCCTCCCCCAATCCCTCCTCAATCCCTAAATCTCCAAATCCCTAATGCCTATAAGGTCGGCAAAGCACTCGTAACTCCTCCGTTGCATGCTTACCATCAGGTAATCCGTCTGCTCGTTTGCTGACCTATTACATAAAAAACAAAACAAAAAAAATGTCAGCAAAGTCCAAACAGTGGGCTGAAAATCAACCAAATCAGTACCATAGCTTGTTAACACATAACGCACTTTCATTCTGCCACAGTCGGGCAAAAACTGCCTATAGCTATGATGAGTAGTTACGTCAGAAAATGGTCTGGAGGTCAGTAGGTCAGGCCCGGCTGCTAAGCCTCGCAGCACAAGTGTTTAGACTTTTGAATTTAAACGCTATAGATATCATATCAGTATGTTAAATTAGGTAATTCGTGTAAGAGAGCCACGCTTCGGCACGAATGGGTCGGCTCGACCGGAGTGATACCACGGCCTCACAGAAAACCGGCGTGTAACAACCACAGCGTTGTGTTTCGACGTGTGAGTGAGGTTCATCATCATCATCAGCATATAAGTGCCCACTACTGAGCAAAGGCCTCTTCTCACATGTTTCTTCTCAGAAGGTTTGAGCATTAATCACCACGCTTGCTCAATGCGGATTGGCGAATTCAAATTTATAATTAGAAATTATAAGTCTAGGTTTCCTCGCGATATTTACCTTCACCGTATGTCAGTGGTGTCTAAATAATCATAGAAAGGACATATAACTAGGAAAGAGTCACATTGGTATTTGTCCGGTTTCGAACCCACAATCTCACGCATGAGGAGTGGGCGCTTAACCTCGGGGCCACCACGGGGCGACTTGAGTGAGGTAACCGGTGTCCCAATCCTACCTCTCCCCAATCGCTTATTCAAACCCTTATCCCAAAAAAATCGGGAAGGTATTCATAACTCTTCTTTTGTTGCGGCTGTCCATGAGCGGCGCTGATTGCTACTTTACCGTCCAATCACATAACAAAAAAACTCTTATGCAACTTTTCTGCACCAGTCAAGGTCAAATTTGATTGCAGTCGTTTCAAAATGCGCGTTGCGTGTTTATCTTATTGATGATTCGCTTTTGCTTAGGAATGTCTGCTAGCTTAGATTTTGTTATGTTTGGCGGCAAACGAGCAAACGGATTACCTGATGGTAAGCCTTTAGCGCCGCCCATGGACACTAGCAATATCGGAGTAGTTACGAGTGCGGTGATTACCTTTTTGGGATTCGGGTTTTGGTTATTTATGGATTAGGGGTGGGGGGAGGGGGGTTGGACCTCCTATTTCACAGCGAAACACAACGCTGTGGTTGTTTCACGCCGGTTTTCTGTGAGGCCTTGGTATCACTTCGGTCGAGCCGCGCCTTTCGTACCGAAGCATGGCTCTCCCGCTCTTGAAATTTGACGGTCGTGCGACCTTAATTCTGACCATTTGGTTGAGATAATTACTCTTCTCTCGCTTCTCTTCTGGAGATGTCTAATATGGGAATATTTAATCACATAATTATGGGCACCCTATTTTTTATTATAATTAAAAAAAAAGCGTTGCCCCACATTAAGATTTTCTCCTGTATCGTGGGCGCGCTTACAAACATACAATTTCACATACACATAACACCCAGACCAGGAACAACAATTTGTGGATCACACAAAGAGTTGTTCCGTGCGGGAATCGAACCCGCGACACGTTGCACGGCAGCCAGTTGCCCAGCCACCGCACCAACCGTGCAGTCGAAAAGTCTTTCACAGTCAAAGCCTTTTCTTGTTAGATACTGCTGCAAACGAACAGACGGATTACCTGATGGTAAGCAATATATACGAGTGATAGTTTTAGGGCTAAGAAAGTTAGGTTTACGCTATGGCTGTTTCGATCCGATATTGAGGAAAATGTGGGATTTTTGTGACTGAAGCAGTAAGTCAGAACCAGTTTACTGCAAATGAAACGCAAGTCATGCTCGACTTGAATTATTTGCTAATTCAAACCTGTTTTCTATCATATATGACAAATAGAACGTATCCATTTCTTTTTAAAAAAACTCATCGTTCCAATTTTGAAACGTAATCCGTTCGTGATTGGTCAATTAACTGTCAAAAGGTCAAATTCATTCATTGTGATTGGTCGGTTGTGTTGTGAGCTAATCGAACTAGTTCGGTGTAGTAATTCTTTAATATCTGTTAAGAGATTTTTTACTGACTTTTGTATGAGAGAATATAAAAATCATTAGAAAATTAACTATAGCTGACAAATTGTCATCCAATTTAAAATGCCATCGACGGAGATCGACAGACGATCTCCGGCCACCGTAAGCCACGCGGCTCTAGGCCGGGGCACAGTACATTCCCGTTCCGTTTCGTATAAAACTCCTTGGATTTTGTATTTAAATCAAAGCGTATCTGCAGACTGATTACCTGATGGTAAGCAATCAGCGCCGCCCATGTACACCCGCAACAGAGGAGTTACGAATGCGTTGCCGACCTTTTAGGGATTAGGGTTTTGGAGATTAAGGGATTGGGGAGGGATCGGAAGAGGTGAAAGATGCAACCTCAATCATACGGCGAAACACAACGCTGTGGTTGTTTCACGCCGGTTTTCTGTGAGGCCGCCGTGATATCACGTCGAGGCGACCCGTTCGTGCCGAAGCACACTGAACTTGATGACAAAGAAACATCGTTTTCTACTAAACCAGGTTATGCCCAGCAGTGGGCTACTTATGGCCACAAAACCGGATATATTTAATGACGTAAGGTTATGTCAAAATTGGAAATAGCCCTATGCGTTTTAATGAATGGGTATAAACGCAAGATACGCGTAATTTGTAAATATACGAGAGTAAATTTTGTACCGAAGCGTTGCAGCGTTTTTCCTTGTATAGCTACATATGTAGGTAGGTATTAATTATGTTGTAAGTAATCGGTTATTTCGTTTGTGAATTCGTTAACGTTATTTCTTGTAGATATTATTATTAATAAACATTTTATATTTTGAAGCTTTTTTTTTATTCGATAGGTCGGCAAACGAGCAAACGGATTACCTGCTGGTAAGCAATCAGCGTCGCCCATGGTCACCCGCAACGACGGAGGAGTTACAAGTGCGTTGTCGACCTTTTGGGGATTAGGGATTTGGAGATTTTGGTAAAGGGAACGGATTGGGGTAGGGGAAGGATTGGGCCTCCGGTAACCTCACTCACACGGCGAAACACAACGCAGTGGTTATTTGACGCCGGTTTTCTGTGAGGCCGTGGTATCACTCCGGTCGAGCCGACCCATTCGTGCCGAAGCATGGCTCTCCCACACTTAAATCGATTGAGCTGTAATTCTGTATACATGTTTAGTTTTTGTGACAATAAACGCTAAGCTGTTTGACAGCACTCGAGATCTATAAGACTTCATCTAGATTTTTAATATAAGATAATGTTGACGTTGACTATTTTCGAAAATAATTTATTAGTGCATTGTTTTATAAATGTTTCTGAAGTGTTTAGGTCCCAGGAATTACTTATTGACCTACGGTGTATGCTGTGAATGATAAAAGCTTGATTCGATTATTATCAGTGAAACCCCTTATTATAGGGTTGCAGCAAAAGCACAATGAGTTACCCTGGCTCAGGTCAAAGTAGGAGTTGGAACAGGGTGGGTTTTTATCATTAAGCGCCTAAAACTCAAATTTACCGCACCCAGCGTGAGAAAACGCGTTTAATTATCTCTCTCCTCACTCCCAACATGTCTAACATACCTTTATCATATCAGAGGTCGGTGGCCTTCTTCTTTGTCCTCCAAGTCTAAGTAGTAAGTAAGGGAGCAGTAGGTAACACTCCCCACGACAAATACAACATAGCAAAAACATTTCCCCCCGAGTGCCCTTTAGAGACACTTTTACAGATTTAGAATGCCGTCATACAGCTTAGCATTTATTGTAATGCAAACTAAACGTGTATACAGAATTTCAGCTCAATGTGTTGAAAATAGCTCACTCAATATTTCGTTGCAAGATTCCTCTACACAGACATACACAACTTTTTTTGTCATTGTTAAATAAAAGCTAGAAAAACCGCGCCCGTACGCAATACAGTCCCGTATGTATTCAACGTGTTACAGCGTGTATTACGTGAGTATATGGTCAGTGAAAGCCGACCCGCTGCGCGAAGCAGTATACTGCTGCGTCGGATTTTAACTAAAAAAATAAATAATAAAAAATGATATAACGGACAAAGAAATAACTAAAAATACAAAAAAATAAATTTTCGAGTTCCATTTCCAGGACGTAGGCGCTTCAATTTATTTTGGTGAGTGTTTTATTTTTTTTATTATTATTTTTAGTTGTATTTATTTGGGTTTGTGCATTTATTTTTATTTTTCGGTTATCGTTTTTCGTTATTTATTTTTTGTGTGCCTGTGTTAATTTTTTCCATAAAAATGATATTTATTGGTGATTTATTTTTGAATAATGTGAAGGATTTTTTATTTTTATTTATTAATCCATATTATTGTTATGCCTGCGCCTTTGCTTGGAATAATTATAATGAAATATAATTAATATATTTTTACTTGCTATAAAAGTAATACATTTCTTATACATTAAGGTATGTATTATATAAGTAATTAATATCGAAGTCTACCATGCATAAGCTCTAAGTTCACTTCTAAAGTAGGGCTAAGTATTATTTGATTTCAAAATCGGTTACAACTTGTATGCATTGTTTGGCATAAGCTTTTCCTATTACCTAATATAACAATGTTATAAAACCAATCTGTACTTATCCACTACAAGAAATTAACTGCTTTAAGATAAAGGTAAGTATAGTAGTAATCATATTCGTTCTTTTAAAATAACCTTACTAGTTTCTGCCATCGGCTTCGCCCGTAGTATCTAGGTGAAAAGTAGTCTTTATGTTATTCCAGACTATAATCTATCTCTGTGCCAAATTACATTCAGATCCGTTCAGTAGTGTTTACGTGAGAGAGTAACAAACATCCATCCGTACTTACACACTTTCGCGTTTATAATATTTGTTATAGGCTGATCTCCCCTATCTATATCTCTGCTTATCTCCATCGAAGAAAATAATACTTTATATATTATTTGACCTATCTATACTAATATTATAAAGCTGTAGAGTTTGTTTGTTTGAACGCGCTTATCTCCGAAACTACTGGTTCGAATTGGATAATTATTTTTTGTTCGTTAGTCCATTTATCGAGGAAGGCTTTAGGCTATAAAACATCACGCTACGATCCTTAGGAGGCGAGCAGCGAGTGAAACCGCGAGAGTAGCTACTAGCTGGTTATGTTTTAAGTCTCATGTAATAGTGGGCGTGCCTATTATTATATCATCATCATCATCATCATCAGCCTATAAGTGTCCATTGCCGAGCCAAGGCCTCTTCTCATACGGAGAAGGTTTAAGCTATTATTATATGTCGAACATTAATTATTTTTTTTGTTTTCTTATGGGACTTCGATTTTTGTCTCATAGAGGTCCTCATCAAATTAGGTACTTCTCCTGCCCAGGGTAAGGCAGGATCTTCTCCTGATCCAGGCTGGAGTTGCGATACAATACTAGATAGTAGATAAAAAGTCTGTATTATATAACGCACTAGCTCCTACCTAGTTGATTGCTTACCATCAGGTAATCCGTCTGCAAGTTTGCCGACCAACCACATACAAAAAATAATAAGATAATGCAATATGAACAGTTCAAGTCTTGCTTAACCTTTAAAAAACACTGTCAATAAGCGACTGAAACCGCGCAAAATACTATCATACACGTGTGCATATGTAAATTAGTTCCCAAAACCTAATTTTTATGTGAAGCAACTTTTTTTTTTTTTGTAGGTAATTTCATCTTTTTACATAAGAATTTTGAAATACCTACCTGCGTTGTCGTTGTAGAAATCGTGACTGGTAGATGGCCAGTTCTAACTTGGTTTAAGTAATTATTACGCCATCAAATGCTTGTGAGAATCTATGGATTATGGGCTTCTACTGCCAATGACATGGTTGCCACGATCACCATAATTTTTTAATACTCAATCAATACTCAATACTCAATACTCACTACTCAATACTCAATACTCAATAATCAATACTCAATACTTAGCATCTTTATTGCTTTTCCATAAGTATACTTAAAGGTGGTAACAATTTGTGAGAAGCAACATGAGAGAAGAAGCTCTGTTTTAATATCTTAAAACAGCTTAATATTAACTTAATTCACTTTAAAGTAACTTAATTATATTTAAAATAAAATTCAAAATATATTTATTTTTATTTGTATAATTATCTTACACTAGCTACTCTCACGCGGTTTCGCTCGCTGCTCGGCTCCGTTTGATTGGAGCGTGATGTTTTATAGCCGTTAACACTCGGGAATATTGTAGCTATTTATCAGTGAAAGAATTTTGGCAATCCGACCAGTGGTTCCAAAGATTACCCCCTACATAAAAACTTACAAATTGTACCTGTTTATAAAATTAGACGGTAGCTACTCTCACGCGGTTTCACCCGCTGCTCAGCTCCATGTAATCGTAGCGTGATGTTTTATAGCCTATAGCACTCAGGAACATTGTAGCTATCTATCAGTGAAAGAATTTTGGCAATCCGACCAGTGGTTCCAAAGATTACCCCCTCCATACAAACTTACAAATTTTACCTCTTTATAATATTTGTCACATATAACATCGTGGTGTTTTACCATGTAAGTGAGGTTACCAGAGATCACATCCCTTCCCAATCCATAAATATCCACAACCCCAATCCCTAAAAGGTCGGCAACGCACTCGTACTTCCTTTGGTGCCACCATTGCGGGCGGTAATGGGCGGCGCTGATTGCTTGCCAGCAAGTAATCCGTCAACTCGTTTACCGACTAATCACATAAAAATATCTATACAGTTTAAAAGGTTCAGGTTTATCAGAGAGAGCTGATCTAGGACCATGGTGAAGGTTCTTTAGGAAGGTTTACCTGGCAAGTACAGTCAGGGGTCAAGAATACAATTACACTCTACCAATTTTAAATGACTAAAATTTCTTTGTAATAAAAGTCCAATGGTTCACAGCCAGTTTATTCAATAAATTAGATTCTATGCTATAAATTAAAGCAGTCCTCAACCATTGACTCAATCTTACAAAGATATTTGGGTCATTTTAAAATTGGTAGAGTTCAATTGTATTTTCGACCCCTGACTGTACCTTTGTGACTTTTCCGAGTTATATGTACTTTCTATGATTATTTAGACACCACTGACATACGGTGAAGGTAAACATCGTGAGGAAACCTGAACTTATAATTGCGCGAAAAATTGAGCAAGCGTGGTGGTTAATGATCAAAACTTCTCCGCGTTAGAAGAGGCCTTTGCTCAGCAGTAAGCACTTATAGGCTGATGATGATAGTATACTATAATAAAAAAATACATAACTGTTGTTTTTGTTACAGACAATAATATTTTGGAAGTGGCTTCTGTTCAGAATGGACTCAAAATTTATGACCACTGATAAAATGGACGAATATCAGTAAGTAAATTCCAATATAGAAAACATATATTGTCACTAAGGTGTGGGAGAGACATGCTTAGGCACGAATAGGGTTGGTTGGACCGGAGTAATAGCAAGACCTTTCAGAAAATTCAATTCCTATGCCAGAGAAGCCATACGACTTTGTCCTCCCAGGGCCACTCTTTCCCCTCACAAAAAAGCCTACGACCATTCTTTTATTAAGCCACGATTACTTGCGTAAGTCATTTTGACTGCACGTTTTGTCCGATGGGTGGACAACTGTCTACCGCCAAACGTGTCGTGGGTTCGTTTCCCGCACGGAACAACTCTTTGTGTGATCCACAAATTGTTGTTCCGAGTCTGGGTGTGATTCAGCCGAAGTTGTGCGGGTCAAGCGCCATGAGTCACCGCGGCCTCGACCCAGAGTCGGAGAAGGAACGGGAGGGTTTTTAGTCAGTAAGAGTATGACATTCTCTCTCGCCTTACACTGGGCGGGAAAAGTCATTTGATGATTTTCCCCTGACAAAAAAAGGGGTCTGTTTGTAAACGCACTCTCGACATAGGAGAAAATGGGAAAATGGGGGCAACGTTTTTTAAAAAAACAATGATCTAAGTCATCATTTCGAATTCTGTCCTCTTTAGAAAACACGTGGAAATGATGAATGGCAACGACCTGAACGTGCTGAACTTGAATTATGAGAACCACATGAATTTGGAACAGCCGGATAACAGTTCAGAAGCCATTGCTGACTTTTACGAAGACTCCATAATCCTGGTGACAGGAGGTACAGGGTTCGTCGGCAAGGCACTCCTGGAGAAACTCCTGAGGAGTTGTGCTGGCATCAAGACGGTCTATGTTCTCATGAGACCAAAAAGGGGTTTGACAGTAGACCAGAGGTATAAGGAATTGCTTAAAAACCAGGTAAGTTCGATATTTCAGGGGTTTTTCGAAAGGTACGTATATTTTTGTTTTTTGTATTTTTGTGGGTTTGAAGGCATTTGAATGATTTTGTGTGGAAAGAAAAGGATGATACGGATGACGACGGATTTGATAATGATTGTGGATGAAAGAAGACCAAGATAATGATGAATGAATGTGTGTGAAAAATGATGCTATTTAAAAATATATTTTCTTGCCAAGCTCATCGTTATAAATCCTACGCTGTATAAACTATTTCCGAAATGAGACAACCCCGTTAAAAGCTAATCCAAGGCCCGAGTAAAAAGGGTACTTTAAGACAGGCATACTCCACCATTGCCGACCTGATCATCGATCTTCGAAATGTACAAGCCTTAACTTAGCTGCCCCTTGCTTTGTAGACAAAAATTCACATCCAAAAAACTCCAAAATCTAAAACCACAATTTCTCCAGGTCTTCGACCGCATCAGAGCAAGATGGCCAGAACGGTTGGGCAAGCTCTACCCGATAACTGGTGATGTCTCTGCACCAAACCTTGGAGTCAGTCCAGAACAACGTGAACTGCTGGGCAAAGTGACTGCGGTGTTCCATTCTGCTGCTACTGTCAGGTTTACTGAGCCTCTCCATGCAGCCACTACCCTGAACGTCCAAGGAACTGCTTCTCTTCTCAAGTTGGCTGAAGATATGCCCAAGTTGAAGGTATGGTCGTATTTCTAAGTTTTTTTTTGGAGAATAGGATAGTGTAAGTTGTTTCAGATACAGTCTTGGTCTTTTAGTCTTTCGGGCTTGTAACAAAACTTTGGGATTATATGCAGAAATAGTATAATTTAATAAAATCCGTTCCCTTCAGTTAAACTATGCAAACTATTGTATTAATAAATATGTATTTCAAAAAATCAGGCCCTGGTCCACGTGTCAACAGCCTACAGTAACGCCCCCAGGTCTCACATCGAAGAACGAGTCTACCCACCACCTTATGACCCAGACAGCATTGTGAGATGCACTAAGATGCTACCTCCCGAGACCGTGGAAGTCATTTCAGATAGCCTCCAGGTAGGTATTTTAGTCTTTCGGTCTTTTCGTCTACTGGTCTTTTGTTGAGTAGACCGTCTTTTATAGGATTTGATTGTAAACGAGCTGTCAGTTCACTTGATGATACGCAGTTGGCACAACACATGGATACCCTCAACACCAGAAAACTCACAAGTGTGGCCTGTTTATTTACTGGTTTTTATCATCATTATCATTATCATCAACAGTTCTTGAGAGACCATAGCTGATCCTAACTTTCCCTTACAAAAGACCATAACCATACTCTCCAAGGTTTACAAATAGATTCGGGATACTCGTAATAGTTTTAGGACTTGGTTCAGGTGGTCATGACTTTTTATCCTTGCAGGGCGAGCACCCGAACCCCTACACGTTGACGAAGGCCTTGGCAGAGTCTATAGTCTACAGTCACACCAACCTGCCTGTCTGCATCGTAAGACCTTCAATTGGTGAGTAATTTATTTTCTATGCAAAATTTCGGCATATCAGTTTATGATCCACCTGGTGGTAAGCACGATTGCTTACCATCAGGAATTAGGTATGCTGCACCAGTACTGCTCACCATCATGAGTTCCGATTGCGCTGCCAGCTTTCGGGGATAAGGGTTTCGGAGATTTGGGGATGGGGAGAGAGAGAAGGATTCAGCCTCCGCGATTACCTCACTCACAAGGCAAAACACAGCGCTCTGGTTGTTTCACGCTGGTTTTCAGTGAGGCCGTGGTATCACTCCGGGTAATCCAAGCTGATATTGAAGTTTGGCTTTCCTATACTTAAACCCTTTTGTTTAGTCCCAGGACTTATTGTATCGACTGATATATTTTAGAGACATTTTATACATGTATAGTGACGTCATACAGCTTAGCGTTTATTGTAATGCAAACTATACGTGTATACAGAATTACAGCTCAATGTGTTGAAGACTAGCAAGATTCCAGTGTATAAATAAAACCTGATTTATTTAAAACAAGCTTTTGCCCGCGACTTTGTTATCGTGGAACAGTGGTTTCCTGCAGATTTTTTGTTTAAAAACTATCCTATGTCCTTTCTTGAGTTCCAAACTATGTTTGTACCAAATTTCACACAAATAGGTTCTGTAGTTTAGGCGTGAAGAAAAGACAGACAGACAGAGTTTCTTTCGCATTTATAATATGAACTAGCGGCCCGCCACCGCTTCGCACGGGTCCAAATATTTCGCTATCAAAGGGTCACTTTTTCCTAATTTTCACCTCTCCTTTTCTAATATTTTCTTTGATAAGAACATTCTTATGACAATAACAAACATAATAAAAAAAGAATTAGCTTGGTCCAGGCGTTGTTGAGTTATGCGCTTACCAACACATTTTGCGATCCATTTTTATATATAAGAAGTTCGGAAGTATGTATTTTTTAATACCTACTTTTCACAATAACTAAATTGATTTAGTAAACGAAGTTGAACGCGTGAAAAAATTCTAAATAAGTAGGGTACCTAGTTTATTTTTAATATTTTATAATATTAGTTTGGATTTGGATCAATACGAAATCAGGTCATTCGTAGGTTATAATTGAATACCTTTCAAAACACATTTCGGGGCACAAATTTGAGCCCATTTTCCCCTGGGAATATGCTTGAGGGGCAGCATTTGTTAACGTGTATAATTTGTGGCAAGCCGTCTTTCGTATAAAGTTTCACACGACATTCATAAAATAATCATAAGCCAATCGATCGATGATACGCCGGCTTATAGCTTCAAGGAGTCCTACAAAGGTATGTCTATAATTTTTAATGTATAACTACCAGCGGTTCTCAAACATTCTTAGAGGAGGAGCCCTTTTGAAATTTAAAGTTTTTGAGGTACACTCATTGTTCGTTCAAAATAAATTATCGTAATTTGAATAAAAATCTGTAAATACTGAAGGCTGAGCGACGTCACCGTGTACGCGCACGATTTTTTAGTTAAAAAAATGCGAGCGTACGGTAGATATATCCACCCTTACGTTGTTGAGACACCTGCGGCTCGGACTAAGCGTTTTGCCTCGTCATTTATACCGCGTACATCGAGGGATTGGAACAGTTTGCCGGCTGCAGTCTTTCCGTCCGAATACAATTTAGGTGTCTTCAAGGCTAGAGTGAATAGGCTCTTAATAAACTAGTGCGCCTTACCATCAACGATTGCATCACTGCTCACCATCAGGTGGGATCGCAGTCAAGTACAAGTTTATTGCAAGTAAAAAAAAAATAAGAATACAAATATTTAACAATCATTACACAGAATAGAGCCCCAGGTCTCCGTCCGGTCACATTTTGAGTGCGACTGAACTATACGAATGTAGCCAGTAAATCTTATATATAAGGTGTCTGTCATTGTCCCTATTAAAATAATGGATAAGTACTAATTAACATATTACTCGCTAATATAGCCCGACAGACGGACAGCTGTGAATTATAATGTAATAATATATGTCTTAGAAGCTTCTTTTAATAGTGTAGTAAAAACTATTGTAGGTTTCGATTATGGTACTGGTTTTTTAACCGCCTCTAAATCATCATAGCCGCCGTGGTAGTCCGGAGGTTAAGGCCCTCTTATGCATGAGGGTTCCAAACCTGGCCGATACCAATGTGACTTTTTCCGAGTTATATGTACTTTCTATGATTATTTAGACAACACTGATATACGGTGAAGGTAAACATCGTGAGGAAACCTGGACTTATAATTTCTAATTGTGAGTTTAAAATCGCGATTCCTTGCAATGGTGTTGATTAATGCTCAAACGTTCTCAAACACTGACTGAACTACCCCTTTCCCGTTCCTTCTCCAACTCGAGGCCGAAATCTATGCATATCCATTTTGTTAATGTACTGTTCTTTGTCCTGTCTGTGTGTACAACCTACATAAACATAAATCAATCAATCTAAACTAATATTATAAAGAGGTAAAATTTGTAAGTTTGTATGTAGGGGGTAATCTTTGGAACCGCTGGTCGGATTGCCAAAATTCTTTCACTGATAGATAGCTACAATGTACCTGAGTGCTATAGGCTATAAAACATTCACGCTACGATTTGTGGGAACCGAGCAGAGAGTGAAACCGTGCGAGAGTAGCTAGTATTATGTATAAATTATAGGTACCTAATGTTATTATATGCATATCACGTACTAAGTATATACATATATGTAGATGTCACACATCTATATATGCTGTACATACCATATACATAAATGGTTATATGACGACCTTCAAAAAGGTTAAGGTTAAACAATAAGCGATATCGTATTTCAATTAAAATTTAACTCTACTGACGAAATGATACGATTGAAAATCAATTCTAATTAAATCTACCAGCCTTGTAGTGACGTAAGAGTAGAATCTTTCATGTCACCAACCCAGCTCTTCCCGTGGGTATCATACACCCATCTAAAATGATATATGTTTATTTAAAATCAGATATTATTTGGTAACGTTATCTGTTAAATGTGAAACTTTCAGAATGCAATCGCCAATCAATCTGACAAGAGCGGAGATATTGGCATACCCCTTTTTAAGGGCTTAAAAGAAGGCCTTATTTTCCGGTTAGGTATGTCCTGAAACCTTCAGATCCTAAGTCCATTGAAGAGTTATCCATATATCTATCGACAAGAGCAATAATTTACCAGGACCTCAGCCTGGTCCAGGAGAAGAAATGGGGTAGTTTTTAGTCAGTAAGAGTCTGTAGCGACATCTACCGCACACACGCAGTGATGTGGCGACTCAATGGTTGGCAGTCAACAACTGTGCGATTCACCCGAAACTTTCTGCCCCGCACAGCAAAACTTTGGAATGATCTTCCGGCGGCGGTATTCCCGAACCGATACGACCTTCAAACCTTCAAGAAACGAGCGTTTTCCTTCTTAAAAGGCCGGCAACGCACCTGTGACTCCTCTGGTGTTGCGGATGTCCATGGGCGGTGCCGATCGCTTACCATCAGGTGATCCATATGCTCGTTTGCCACATATTCCAAAAAAATGATTTATTCGATTCTACATCGCGGTATAAGAGTTCTTAACGCAATTAGAACTGATAAAAATTCCCGACAGAACACCCGTCTGGTCGGAGGATCTCCCCTTTTCAATGGAGGATGAGGAACTTTCCACCCTGTTCTCTCATATCTTTAAGTCTTTTTTTTTGTGAGGGGAAAATCATCAAATGACTTCTCCCGCCCAGGGCCGGGCGGGAGGGAGTGTCAGACTCTTACTGACTAAAAACCCCCCTGTTCCTTCTCCTGCTCTATGCCGAGGTCGCGGTGCCTCATTGCGCTTACCCCGCAACCCCGGCTGAACATCAGCCCTTTAGGGCCCCGTCTGCGGTGGTCTAATGGCTCTTTGAGGCGCGCGCGGAACGCTACGCGCCGTACGCTCGGGCCTGGTTCTGGTCGGGCGGCGAGCTGCCCTTACTCGCCGATCATATCTTTAAGTCTGACATTCCCTTTTGTGGCACCCAGGGTGATATACGTCACTTAAAAACCACCATCAAAAAAGAGAAACCGGGCGAGAACCTACACTTTTTGACTGCACGGTCGGTGCGGTGGCTGGGCAACTGGCTGCCGTGCAACGTGTTGCGGATTCGATCCTCGCACGGAACTGCTCTTTGTATGATCCACGAATTGTTGACCCGGGTCTGGGTGTCATGTGTATGTTTGTAACCGCACCCACGACACAGGAGAAAAACCCAGCGTGGGGCAAAGTTTAAAAATAAAATAAAAAAAAATAAAAAAATAAATAAAACTTTACGTTGTGTTTCGCCGTGTGAGTGAGATTACCGAAGGCCCAATCCTTCCCCTCATCCCCAATCCTCAAATCCCCTATCCTTAAATCCCTAATAACCTACAAGAGGTCGGCAACGCACTTGTAGTAACTCCTTTGGTATTACGAGTGTCCATGGGCGGCGCTGATTGCTTACCATCAGGTAATCCGTCTGCTCGTTTGCCGATCTATGACATAGAAAAAGGACTATCCATTCTTCAATCTTTGCTTCATTTATCATCATCAGCCTACATAAGCCCACTGCTGATCAAAGGCCTCTTCTCACACGGAGAAGGTTGGAGCATTGATCACCCCGCTTGTTCAATGCGGATTGGCGATTTCAAACTTATCATTAGAAATTATAAGTCCAGGTTTGCTCACGATGTTTACCTTCACCGTATGTCAGTGGTGTCTAAATAATCATAGAAAGTACATATAACTAGGAAAAAGTCACATTGGTACTTGCCAGGTTTCGAACCCCCTCATGCATGAGAAGCGGGCTCCTAACCTCCGGGCCACAAAAATCTTTGCTAACCACATTATGATAGGAAGTCGTGATGATGGTGGTTTTACATAATCAGTGTGTAATAGTTTTGTAGCCGCTTTCTCATAACCAGTTCCAAGATAAGGTACTAACGTTACTTAACAGGGCAAGCGGGTTTAAAGTAGTTAACCTATAAAGCTATTACCGACAATATTATATAATCTGAACCCTATGCCATTTATATTAAACTGGTTTTAAGTGTGGGAGAACCCAAGCTTCGGCACGAATGTATCAGCTCGACCGAAGTAATACCACGGTCTCACAGAAAACCGGCCTGAAACAACCACAGCGTTGTGTTTCGCCGTGTGAGTGAGGTTACCGGAGGTCCAATCCTTCTCCTTCCCACATCCCTAAACCTCCGGAATCGTTTCGAAGACCGGCAATGCACTCGTAATTTGCCTGGTCTTTCGGGTGTCTATTGGCGACGCCGATTGCTTACCATCAGGTAATCTGTCTGCTCGTTTGCCAGCGTGATCTATCACAAAAAAATGTATCAGGTTCAAGCCATTCAGGTTATCAGAGAGCCTTCTTTTAGCCGGATAAAACCCACATCTAATCCGAATACAATTAAGGTGTCTTCAATGCTAAAGTGAATAGGCTCTTAAGAAACTAGTGCGCCTTACCATCAACGATTGCATCACTGCTTACCATCAGGTGGGATCGCAGTCAAGCACTAGTTTATTGCAAGTAAAAACAAATCTAAATATGGTATACTTCAAATACCTGGCCTAATCCTTCCCCTTCCTGGACCCTTCCCCAATCCCTAAATCTCCAAATCCCTATTCCCTAAAAGGTCGTTAACGCACTCGTAACTCCTCCGTTGCGGGTGTCCATGGGCGGCGTTGATTGCTTACCATCAGGTAATCCGTCTGCTCGTTTGCCGACTTATTACATTAAAAAAAAAAACCTACCTACAACTTACTAGTTCCTTCTTATAACAATAACTAAAATCGATTTTTCAGCACTGAAACTGAAACCTGAAGGGTATCATGAATTTTTAAATGACGTAGCTGTTTCAGAATTGTTTTCTTGATAAATCAATATATTCTATGGTGTGTTTTATAGGTCATGGGAAATACGTAGGGAGAAGGTCATTTTGTGGCAATTTTGTAGGGTATTATGATATGGCGATTTTATTTCTATGGGGGTGAAAAGCAGAGATACCATTTTTCAGTAGTTCTTTTATGAGTCGCTTGTTATTGGGGATTTTCTGGATTAAAAAATTTTCTGTCATCAAATTACTTTTTTCGCCCAGGCTGAAGCGAAAGAGGGTGTCAGACTGTTATTGACTAAAAATTACCCGTTCTTTCGTTTTTTCCGAGTCGTGGTCCCGGTATATTTTTTATTATTTTATGTGATAGGTTGTCAAACTTTTATTCGGATTACCTGATGGTCAACCATCACAGTCCGCCCATAGACACCCGCAACTCCTGAGCAGTAATGAGTGCGTTGCCGGCATTTTGGGGATTAGGATTTCGGAATTTTAGGGATTTGGAGGGGTTGGCAGGAAGGAAATATTCAGCTTCCGGTAACCACATTCACACGTCGAAATACAACGTTTTGGTTCTGCCACACCCATTCCGTAAGGACGTGGTATAACTTTGGTCGTGACGACCGATTTATGCTGAGGATTGGGTGTCCCACAGTTAACTGTATAATAGCGCAACCCTACACATCATTTCTATTGGGTCTCATTGCAATGGTCTGATAGCTCTTTGTGAAGCTGTTCGTGTGCGCAGATGTAAACGGCCACGGTAATATTATCCATGGTATTACTGTGGCGGGGCTTACTGGCATATACTAGAAATAGTTTTCAAAAGGCTGACAAACGTTTTTGAAATTTTTGAAAAGTATGTATGCAAAATATAAACAAAATAATTTGTAGATTTTTGCTTCCACAAAAATAACTTTGCTTCCACGCTTCACTGCCACCATACGCATTACTGAAATATATCAAAATCTATTTTTTTAATCAGTGCCAATAAGGTTCCGGACGAAGCTGAGCCATATTTAACATAATTAAGTACTGAGAATAACGACTTGAAACTAGTCGAGCATTTATTAGTTAATTCCCGAGAGTAAGACATTATCTCTTATATATAAAAATGGATCGCAAAATGTGTTGGTAAGCGCATTTAACTCAACAACGCCTGCACCAATTATGCTAATTCTTTTTATGTTGTGTTTGTTATTGCCAGGAGAAGGTTCTTATCAAAGAAAATATTAGAAAAGTAGAGGGGAAGATTGGGAAAAAGTGACCCTTTGATAGCGAGATAGTGGGACCCGTGCGAAGCGGGGGCGGGCCGCTAGTTTACAATAAATCCAGTTTGATTAATGATAGGGACTATCAATAAATAATGAACAATTGTTCTTATTCAAAGTTATTTCTCTTGTTTCTAGTAACTGCCGCCCTGCAAGAACCCTACCCAGGATGGATAGACAACGTTTATGGAGTAACGGGTGAGTATTAAACGCCATATAAATACAACCAAATCCCCCCTCTCGCCCAATCGCTCCTAATTCCCAAAAACTACAAATCCCGATTCCCCAAAAGGTCGGCAACGTACTCGTTACTCCTCCGTCGTTGCGGGTGTCCATGGGCGGCGCTGATTGCTTACCATCAGGTAATCTGTTTGCTCGTTTGCCGACCTATCACTTAAAAAAAATACCGAACACAAGGCTGTTAACCGTTGAAGAGTCCTCCAAGCTCGTCGTACCATTCAATCACCAGATCCCTTATGACAGTCTGACCAATTAATTAAGTCCAAACTCTTAGACATTGCTGTAAACAACTGAGGAGTTCCTTGACCGTCTTTTGGCACCATCGTCAGGTTCATTTCAGTCCGTCATGAAATTGTTGTGCTTCTAGTCGCCCCTGCAATTTTTCAAAGGTATACCTGGGATCAGGATCTGATGTCTAGTATTGTCTAGTCAGGGGTCAAAAATGCAATTACACTCTACCAATTCTAAAATGACTAAAATTTTTTGTAGTAAAAGTCCAATGGTTCACAGCCAGTTTATTCAATAATTTTGATTCTATGCTATAAATTAAAGCAATCCTCAATCATTGACTCTATTCTACAAAGATTTTTTCGTCATTTTAAAATTGGTAGAGTGCAATTGCGTTTATGACCCCTGACTGTCCATCATCAGATCCTGATCCCAGGTTTAGAGACAAAAAATAACATTCAAAAAGATAAATGCATGGATCTTAAGTTCGTAAGCGCATTACTTAACAAGGTTTGGACCAATTTTGTCAATCAATGTATGTCAATCACGGATAAGTTCTATGAAAAACCTTTTTTCCTTCTGTCTGTTTGTCTTGTCTGTCTTTTTGCGAGGTACTTGCACACCAGAGCAGTGCAGGGCTGCTAGTTTAAAAACTGACACTCACACAAAAAAATTGATACTCACAAAGTATCCACCATAGTAAATTATCCCCTAATCTTCTGACTCTTCTTCCAGGCATAATTATGGAGATATCTCGTGGAACATACCGCTCAGGGTACTGTCGAGAGCGGTATGTGGTGGACCTGGTACCAGTCGACATGGTCGTCAACTCCTGCATCCTGGCTGCTTGGAGACAAGGAGTTAAGCAGTGAGTATCAATAAACTATCAAGGAACCTGGTGTTTTTTTATATATTTGCTCATAATATTCGATTTCCTAACCTTCTGCATCATGGATATTTCTTTTATGGATGTATTTAAGGTAGCAAACAAGAAGATGGGTCACCTGGTGGTAAGCAATCTGCGCCAATTGAAATCGCACTTACAACACCATAGGACTTCTAACTTTGGCTGGCGCGCAACGTGTTGTGGGTTCGATTCCCGCATGGAACAACTGTTTGTGTGATCTACAGATTGTTGTTCCGGGTCTGGGTGTGATGTGCATGTGAAATTGTATGTTTGTAAACGCACCCACGACACAGGAGAAAAATGGATTTTGGGGATATAGGTATTGGAGATGGGTATGAATGAAAAGAGCAGTCCTCCGGGAAACTCAAATTGGCGAAACACAATGCAAGTTTTGTTTTAAGCCGTGTAAAGTATGGACGTGGTATCACTCCGGTCGAGCTGGCCCATTTGTGAAACCGAATCATGGCTCTTTTTCACAAACGAATATTTAAAACGAAACCTCGATTTTCAGGCCTGGTCGCTGTCCTGTATACAATGTGACCTCAGGCTCCATCAACCCTCTCCAATGGGGTCAGTTCACCAAGCTTTGCGTCAAATGGGCTCTGGAAAACCCCACCAAGTAAGTTTTTAAACCTATAAGTGGCAGATCAAACTACTCTAAAGTGTTGTAGATTTGAAACTGTATGAGCTTTGTGCTAAAGTCGAAGTCTATTGAAGAAAGTTAGTTTATCTTGATTTGCAGCTTCTTATTATTTTGCATTACATTTATTTTGAAAGAAAATAAAGAAAAACTGATTTCTTTCATACAAACGATCACAAATAAAGATTTCATTTCATTTCATTTCATTTCAAAAACGACGCAAAAATAACAACAAATTAATTGAAAATAAGGAAGAAATAAACATATAAGCAGAAAATACGTCGCATTTGGATCTCTTTTTGAAAAAGGCACAAGACGCTTAGTATAAATCCTGTGCATACAGTAATGTAATGGTAGGTAATAGCAATCTATACTAATATTATAAATGCGAAAGTAACTCTGTCTCTGAACCGATTTCTGTGAAATTTGGTACAGGCATAGTTTGGAACTAGAGAAAGGACATAGGATAGTTTTTATACCAAAAATCTGCAGGAAGTCACTATTTCACGCGAACTTGCGGTGACTATAATATGAAACCCTTTATTTCTAGGTACGTGATGTGGTACCCGAACTTTTCCTTCACCGAATCCAGGTTTATGAACACATTTTGGGAGATCACCTGCCATTTCCTGCCAGCCTTCATGTACGATCTGCTGCTGAGAGCCCAGGGACGAAAGGCTATGTAAGTGGATAATTTTATAACCTGATTTTCGTAGCTTTGATTATTGCCGGGATTGACCATAAGTGGTCTAGTGGGGTGTGGGTTCGAAACATGGCAAGTACCAATGTGACTGTTTCCGAGTTACATGTAATTTCTATGATTATTTAAGTGTGGGAGAGCCATGCTTCGGCACGAATGGGTCGGCTCGACCGGAGTGATACCACGGCCTCACAGAAAACCGGCGTGAAATAACCACTGCGTTGTGTTTCGCCGTGTGAGTGAGGTTACCGGAGGCCCAATCCTTCCCCTTCCCCAATCCCTCCTCAATCCCTATATCTCCAAATCCCTAATCCCTGAAAGGTCGGCAACGCACTCGTAACTCCACCGTTGCGAGTGTCCATGGGCGGCGCTGATTGCTTACCATCAGGTAATCCGTCTGCTCGTTTGCCGACCTATTACATAAAAAAAAAAAAAAAAAATATTTGGACACCACTGACATACGGTAAAAGTAAACATCGTGAGGAAACCCGGACTTATAATTTCTTATTATAAGTTTGAAATCGTCAACCCGCATTGAGCAAGCGTGGTGAATACTCCCTCCTGCCTCACCAAGGGAGGAGAAGTAGAAGACAAAAATCGAACGCTCATAAGATGTAATGGCTTTCCAAAAAAATATTGAATATTCGATATATAATAATAGCTCGAACCTTCTCCATATGAGAAGAGGCCTTTGCTCAGCAGTGGGCACTTATAGGCTGATGATAATGATGATGATTGGCGGAGCTGATTGCGTTTTAGGATATCTACGAAAATATATACGATTCGACTCTATAATACTAATTCAATTTTGCAGAATGATGAAGCTGGCTCGTCGTTTTAAAATGGCGGCTGCAACTGGAGAGTACTTTGCCAACCACGAATGGCAGTTTGGCATAGCTGAGCTGACAGCTTTGCATGACGATGCCAGTTACGCTAGAGACTCTGGCGCCTTTCCTCATTGGCCGGCTGATTTTGACTGGAATTCTTACATCGGAGCCTATATGTTTGGCATAAGGAGATATATTCTTAAGGACACTGCTGAATCTCTGCCAGTAGCGAGGACAAAATTGCGGCGGTAAGCTTTATTTTAATTTTTTATAAGCAAATTTGGGAAACCCATGCTTCGGCATGCATGGGTCGGCTCGACCGGATGGATACCACGACCTCACAGAAAACCGACGTGAAACAACCACAGTGCTATGTTGCGTCATGGGAGAGTGGTTACTGGAAGCCCGATCATTCCCCTCCCCAATCCCTAAATGGCTAAATCTCTAATCCCCAAAAGGTCGGCATCGCATTCATAACTCTTCTGATATTGCGAGTGTCCATAGCGCTGATTACTAACCATCAGGTAATCCGTATGCTCCTTTGCCGACCTATAACTTAAAATGATGGTAATGTGACATAAATATCAATTAATTATTTCTTTTACAGGTTATACTGGGTTCACAAGCTATTCCAAGCTGCTACAGGATACTACATATTTAGATTTTTAGCCGGTCGCTTACGATAAAATAAATCACAAGTTAATTGTAAATATAATTAACCATTTAGTCCTCAAAATTAAGTTTTAGCCTTTGACCGCCAAGTCGAAAAGTAGACGCATGAAATTCGTTAAGTCAGCTGTCAGATAAATTGTCAAAATTTATAGATTAAAAATGTCAGTTGTCAGATTAAATGTCATAAATATATAAGCAACGTGTCAAAATATGAACTTTTATAATATTATAATAACAAAATAATACTGTCTGTTATTATCGAATTGAAATATGTTTATGCCATCTTGTTACTAAGATTTAATTTAAAAAAGAAAATCGCAAATTTTCAAATAAAAGAAATAAACAAAACAAAGTTGTTTTACGACATTATTTAATTCACGCTTGAAATTGTTTGTCGTATAAACATGACTGTGACAGTCTAAAGGTTAAAAAAGATATAAAAATAGTCTTTAATATAATTATAATAAGATGCAAGAAACCTTATAAAATACTCATTGACAGCTTATATACATAATTAATTATGTATAGATGAATTCCACCACGAAAAAAAACAATTGTGAGATCTTTTAAAGTATAAATATGTCAATTGAGATTATAATTTATGTCAAGTGTCAGACAAAACATCAGAACAAGACATGTACCTATATGTCAGATCGGCATGTAAAATGCTGACGCTGTCGGATAAAATGTAACATTGTCAGATAAAATGTTACTTTGTCAGGTAAAATGTCCGATTGTCAGGTAAAATGTCAGATTGTCAGGTAAAATTTCAGATTGTAAGATAAAATTTTAGATTGTCAGATAAAATGTCAAATAAAGTATGAGATTGTCAGGTAAATTTTCAAATTGTAAGATTCAGATTTCAAAACTTTAAAAGTAAAACGGCCACTTAAATAATCACAGATTAAAAAATAAATTACCCATTTTTATGTTTTATCTTTTTTGATTATTGATGTCGCGTCTGATTTATTTTTAACCTTTACAACATAATTATGACATATGAATCTCTTATCAAATATTGTAATAGTTTTTAAGTACCTAATATGAAAGTACCTGTCCTCTTAGAAAAATATGTTTTATAATTATATATTTTAACATTTTTTTCTTTCATAATGAAAAATCCACCAAATATCTTAATTTGTAATCTTTCTTTAATAATGATGTTTTTTCAATGATTGACCTTAAAAATTAAAACCCAGTTTTTACAGGTTAAATTTTAAACTTGGTTTTTTAATAACATAAGCATATTGATTCTCTTACTAAAATATTTATAGTAATCTTTTGAATGAATAGAGATTACATAGATTATTTTTTATTCTGAGAATTGCGTCTTTACCAGACCTCAGCTTATAAGAATCGGGTATAAGATACCCAGCTGAAGAATAGCGGTGGTAACAAAATAAATGTATTCCACTACTTATATCTTCTTTTCTTTTCTATTCTATTTTTTTTTTGGTTGATCATTGAAAAACTTACATTGTTTACGTAGTTACTTGTAAACATATATATTTGTGTCATATTTTTAAATTGAAAAAAGATTTGGAACATCAAATATTATGTTTTTTCTTATACCCACTTAAAATTAAAAGATTGTAATATTTAAGTTATTAAATATTTTTCCATTTAAGTGTCTACACTGATTAAGATAAAATTACTTACCTACATAAAATAATAAAAAATGTGCATAATAGATGTCTTAAAATTTTCTGTTTTATTTTATCAAAAATAACCTCTTTTTGTGAGGGGAAAATCATCCCATGACTTCTCCCGCCCAAGGTAAGGCGAGAGAGAGTGTCAGACTCTTACTGACTAGAAACCCCCCCGTTCTTTCTCCTGCTCTGGGCTGAGGTCGCGGTACCTTATTTCGCTTACCCGGCTGGCTGAACATCAACCCTATAGGGCCCCGTCTGTGGTGGTCTATTGGCTCTATTGCTTAGAGTTTCCTGCAGACCTTGTGATAAATTGACAACTCCTCTTTCAGCGTTCACCTACACCCCTAGCACTACTACATGTCACACAGCTTACTACACCCAGTAGTTACAGCTGTGTGGTCTTTCATATTTTTTAATATTTGATATATAGTAGATTTCGGCATAACTCGACCTTTTTCAAAAGTCAAAAAGTCAAAAATCATTTATTCCAATTAGACCTTTACAGGCACTTTTGAACGTCAAACAAAATTTTGGAGATACAGTGTCGTTCTGTCGGTCAGTCCTCTTAGTGAAGCTATTTGCTCGTTCCAAAGTATAGATTCCAATGGAAAACAAACTCCATGGTTACTCTTTTTAAATCAGTTTCACATACAGATTCCTTTTACAAACAGTTGGTTCAATTATGAGAACAGTGTAACACTAATATTAATATAAAAATACCTAGTCAGTCTAATACATTGGGAAGTGTAATGATGAAAACCTCAGTTTCTTTACACTTTTAAGTGTGGGAGAGCCAAACTTCGGCACGAATGGGTCGGCTCGACCGGAGAAATGCCACGGCCTCACAGTAAACCGGCGTGAAACAACCACAGCGTTATGTTTCGCCGTGTGAGTGAGGTTACCGGAGGCCTAATTCCGCCCCTTCCCCTATCTTTTCCCGATCCTTATATCCGCAACCAATATCCCCAAAAGGCCGGCAACGCACTCGTAACTCCTTTGGTGTTGAAGATGTCCATGGGCGACTTATACCATTAAAAATAATAATAATAACAGCTTTAACCTTCAGTCGTGGTAATTCAAGACACAGAAGAAAAATAGGTGCGCGAAAGCGTTCACTTAAAGTTAGATGAATTAAAAATCTGAATTTTTCATATTACAAATCGAATTGTCGAAATTTTGGCGACGCAACCCTGTGCTGTGTGGAAATGAGAAAAATGGTAAAAATGTGCATGGGTATGTGTGTATCTACATAAAAATAACTTTTTATTGATAGCATTACATTCACGTATTTATAACTTGTTGCTATTAGAAATCACTAGGATACCAAGTTTATGTTAGTAGTTCGAAAGGTTGGCAAACGAGCAGACGGATTACCTGATGGTAAGCAATTAGCGCCGCCAACACACCCGCAACCCTAAAAGATTTACGAGTGCGCTACCGATCTTTTGGGAATTAGGGATTCGAATATTTAAGGATTGGGAAGGTATGGGGGGACGGTGAGGAATAGGGCGTCCAGTAACCTCACTCACACGGTGAAACACAACGCTGTGGTTGTTTCACGCCGGTTTTTTTAAAGCTCTCTCTCCGGTCAACCGACTCTTTCGTGCCGAAGCATGGCTCTCCCATATTTGGTGGTAATGTATAATAACATGAATTAATATAAAATAGTGGAGAAATTTTGTTTCAGCATTGCAGCCGTGCGCAGATGAATGGGTCACTAGTTTTAATATAGATAAGTAAGTATTGAATTTAACTAAGACTTCTTCAAATCAAATCAAATCAAATCAAAATCATTTATTCCAAATAAACCATAAATAGGTACTTTTGAAACGTCAAAATAGAATAGTAGTCTGTCAGTCTGTTCGTCAGTGAAGCTAGGTGCTCGTTCCAAATTGTAGTTTCGAATGGAGAAGAACGAGCAAGAAACTCCATCGTTACTCTTTTAAAAAAAATATTTGTTTTACAATTCATCAATAATACATTTTTTATACATTACTGTACCCCTATGTGAGAACAATGCAGAGACACGTTGTTAATAAAAAGGAACAAATTATGGTCTATTTAATCTATCATTAAAATTTTAATCCTTTGTTGTCTCGTACATGGCGCTCACATATGCGTACTCACAATCCAAAAGAATGCTTCTATATAAACTCATTCAAGGTTTCATTAATTTTGAGAATTTTAATAACTACTGACTACATATTTGAGAATTGTCCAGTGGAGCCGAACCAACATGCTGCCAGGCATTCTTATCCTCAATATAATCTGAAAGTTTGTAGTATGCCTGTCTACATAATTCGCGTTTAATATAAGTTTTAAATTTTCGTTCATTAAGATTTAATACACTTCTTGGAATTTTATTGTAACAATTTACACAGAACCCCATAAAGGATTTCTGTACTTTGGACAGACGGAATCGTGGCACAGCCAGCCTATCTTTGCCTCTAGTATTAAAATTGTGTCTATCGCTTCTTTTTTCAAATAATTGCAAATTTTTCCTTACGTACATAATATTTTCATATATAAACTGACAAGGTACCGTTAGGATATTTATCGTTTTAAATAGTTCTCTCAGAGATTCACGAGGGGACAAGTTATATATCGCTCGGATAGCCCGCTTTTGCAAAATAAATATTGAATCTACTTCCGCAGCTCGACCCCATAGCAAAATTCCGTACGACATAATGCTGTGAAAATAGCTAAAATAAACAAGCCTTGCTGTGTTCACGTCTGTGAGCTGTCTAATCTGTCTAACTGCAAAAACAGCTGAGCTCAGTCTTCCCGAAAGCGTCTTTATGTGGGAACCCCATTGAAGTTTATTGTCTAGCGTAATACCTAGGAACATAGTCTCGTTAACAAATTCTAACTTTTGCCCATTTAAAATTATGTCACAATCATTATTGTGTACGTTGGGCAAGCTAAATTTAATACATTTTGTTTTTTTCTCGTTAAGTGCTAAATTATTGACTGTAAACCAATTATGAACTCGATGAATGGAGCTGTTTACTTCGTCCAAATTATTAACACGTCGGCCTATTCTAAAAATTAATGATGTATCATCTGCAAACAGCACCATTCTTGGCTCGGTTTTAAATAGAAATGGCAAGTCATTAACATACACTAAGAAGAGAAACGGACCCAAAATTGAACCTTGCGGTACGCCAATTTTTATCTCAGAGCCCCGTGAGTTAGACCCACCTACATGAACTCTCAGCTGCCTATCCTCTAAATATGACTTTAGTAGACGGAGTGCAGTATGTCTAATCCCGTAATGATCTAATTTCAGCAAGAGTGTTTCATGATCATTGCAATCGAACGCCTTTGAGAGGTCGCAAAAGACACCAACAGCATCCTGTGCTTCCTCCCAAGCACCGAATACCTCCTTTATCAAAGTGACACCGGCGTCAGTTGTACAACGACCTTTAGTGAAACCGTATTGTTGGTGATGGAAGATGGCATGTTTATCAAAGTGATGAAGCATCCGAGATAGCATTAACTTTTCAAACACTTTGCTAAGAACCGGTAGAACAGACACAGGCCTATAGTTGTTTGGTTCCTTAGTGTCACCATTTTTGAATAATGGAATAACTTTACTGCATTTCATTAGGTTGGGGAAGACACCGTCATCTATACTTTTATTGAAAATCAAAGCCAGATACGGCGCTAAAGTTCGGATAAGTGATCCGCAGACTTTCACCGATAGTCCCCAAAGGTCCTCAGTTGATTTAATCTTGATTTCTTTAAAAACCTTTATTATCTCTAAAGGATTAGTATAATGAAAACTAAAATCGTCTTTGCATGATTTGACATTTTCTCTAAGCAAAGTTACCGATAGTCTAGCTGATGATTCTAAATGAGCAGTTGTTGAGACAGGTATATTAGCAAAAAATGCCTCAAACTCCTGAGCTACATCTTTGCTTGACGAAATCTGTCCCCTTTCAGTGTTTAAACAAAATTCCGAATTTTTTAATCGTTTCCTACCTGTCTCATTCTGTATTATTTTCCACGTAGCCTTTATCTTGTCATCAGCTGATTTTATTTTATTACTGATGAAAAGCTCGCTTTGTGGCTTTGCATACTATTCTAAATGTTTTTGAGTACAATTTTACATGTTGATGAAAAAGGGGGTCGCAATTGAATGGTTTCATGCCATAAAGTTCAAAAAGTTTATCTCTACTCTTACGAATACCTACGGTTGCCCAATCGCTAAACTGAAACTTAGAATAGACGTCTTTACATTTCATTGGCAAAATAGCTTGAAATTCCCTATTTAACACCGCAAAAAATTTTTCGTATAACCTGCTCGGATTAATGACATCAAAATTTTGTACACTTAATTTAGTTGCTATTGAATTATTGAGTTTCTCTAAATTTCTATTTGTAATATGTCTAAACTTTATTTGAATTTTTTGCATTTCTTAACAATTTTTGGTAATCAGTACTCAGTAGGTAATGCATTTAAAGTTAAAAGACAAAATCATTTACTCCAGTTAAACCCTTGCTGGAAAATTTTGAAGATATAAAGTGTCAGTCTGTCGGTCAGTCCTCTAGTGAAGCATTTTAAGTGTGGGAGAGCCATGCTTCGGCACGAATGGGTCGGCTCGACCGGAGTGATACCACGGCCTCACAGAAAACCGGCGTGAAATAACCACTGCGTTGTGTTTCGCCGTGTGAGTGAGGTTAGCGGAGGCCCAATCCTTCCCCTTCCCCAATCCCTCCTCAATCCCTAAATCTCCAAATCCCTAAACCCTAAAAGGTCGCCAACGCACTCGTAACTGCTACGGGATAAACCCGAGCAAAAAATAAAAATCTAAAACTAGAAATTATACAACACACGTTTTAAACAATATCAATTTATTGTTAAAAACTATACAAAAAAAACAAGGCGTGGGTTCTACGCCTACTTGGTGGCACTGTCACTGATGAGCGTTTACAATAATAAGACAATGTGGGTATATGCGAGACGTGGCTGGCGGTGTTGGTGGTGGCCACTTAACTATGGCATGAGGTTGAGGTGCATGCCGGTGCCGCTATCCCAGTCCGGGGACAACGCGGAGGCTACAGCGCAATGACACGGGGCCAGGCCCATTACGCTCGCCTTCTCCATGTCGCCACTACTAAGGGGAGTTTCCAACTCTAAACATGGCTCTTAATTCGACGGGGCCTTTCAACTCCGTCCGTGGTTCCTGAAACCGCCAAACAGGTAGGGTGTAGTCCACCGTTGTCCCAGAATGTCCTGGTGACCACCGACCAAATCCTATCACAGGGCCCTACGGTCGGTTGGTCTTTTACAAGGGTGGAAAATTAAAATATAAAACAATAAAATTATCTCACAAAATAAAAACCATAAAATAATAAAAGAGGTAGGTAGTGAGAGATAATAATAATATTAAAACCCTACTGTTGGTTTTCAGATCAATTCAAAGGTGATAAAAATACAACATAATTAAGTTAATTGATTTGGTACAAAAGAATCCGGATCAATCATTAATAAAAAGTCGTCCACCCTCAGAAACTGCCATGGCGTGTCATATTTTAAATTCGGAAAAGACGGTGATCGTTCTTTCCTGAGGGCGAAATTATATAAAAAAAATAAGAATAGGACACGCCACGCACAGGTTCAAGATGCGACGAAACAGGAATTAAAACCGAAATAATACAGGATTCGTGTTATGACAAGAATCGAGAACTAGAATAAAATTATATGATTATACCCTCACACGAAAATAATAAATTCCAACAATTAAATATTATACTCGTTTCTTAATCATGAACACGGTACACATAACTTATTTAACAAATAGATTTGACGAGAAACCCCATGAAAGTTTATAAATGTAACCGTTACTAACGGCTCAATTTAAATTACAAAATATAAAACCGAAAAAATCTAAATACAAGAGTTTACAGTCACTATGCCTGACTTACACATTTAAATATAAATCTGTGCAACAACACTTACCCTTTGCAGGGAACCACGGAAACACTGAATTTAAATTATTAAGCCTAAAATTGGCTTCTGCGAAAATTATGCAACACAGTACACTGTAGGTCGGCGATCAGGATTCCAGAAGAAAGGAAAGATTCTACTCGAACCCGCCTTATAAGAAAAAAGAATTTCATAGACAAGCATATAGTAGACAGAGACACTTATCTACTTCCTTTTAATTATCTGACCTCAAGGCTAACAATCCGCGGGCGATTATCCATTAATAAATAAAATTAAAACGATTACCCGCTATTATTGACAAAATTATTTCATCTACCGCACATTGATTTTATTATCGATTGGGTGAATCTATAATCTGTGAAATGACAACTGACGTTGACATGCTATTACATAAAAAAAAGGCTATTTGCTCGTTCCAAAGTGTAGATTCCGATGGAGAAGAACGAGCAAGAAACTCCATGGTTACTCCTTTTAAATCAGTTCCACATACAGAATATTATCTATAGAGAAAAATATGCTGAGATACCTGAGCTAGGAATAAGGAGGATCCACCGAGCAGGCCAGGTGATTGTGCTAGGCCGGCCACTCCCTGACAGTATACGTTGCTTAGGGCTGATTTTTTTGGTTAGATAAAAGTTATCTGGGGAATAATTATGATGCTGTCGCGTCAGAATGTGTGTATAAGACAGTGACAGCAACAATTTTATTCCTCGTATAACATTTATCTGACTATTGAAAAATCATCGCTTAGAACAACATAGCATGCAAATAAAAGTTTGTATGCGTTTTTGTGTTATGCGCATCTATTGAATTATTCTGGGACTTGTTTCGCTAACGCTTGTGCGCCTGATGGTATTTTCATAGCATCATCTTGCGCTTATCACAAAAGCTATCAAGTATGAAGAGTTTATTTTTTTGACCTGCACGTCGATTCTATAAAATTTGTTTGATTTTGAATCGTGTTCGAGTGCGAAGTGAGCGTCGAAGTAACGGGTAAATTAAATTTTTGAATGTCACTTTTAACGTCATCTCATACTTTATCTATCAAAATGTTGCGGTCAATTTAGTTCAACTCGCAAGTGTAGCGCTAGTGTACTACAACTCACGGCGGATTCAAATTTGAAGTTTAGAATGAAGTCTTACAGAATCACACTGCTGTTATACTCACCAATTAAAGTTACAAATTAACCCTTGTTCTAATATTTTTATTGAGCATGAGAGAGCCAAGTTTTGGACGAATGAATCAGCTCGACCGGAACAATACCACAGCGTTGTGTTTCGCCGTGAAAGTAAGGTTACCAGGTTACCAGACGTCAAATCCTTCCTCTTCCCCAATCCCAAAAATCCCAAAACCCTAATCCCTAAGAGGCCAGCAACGCACTAGTAGATACTCTGATATTGCGGATGTCCATGGGCGACGACGATTGCTTACCATCAGCTAAAAGTGTGCGCCGGGGATGCCGGTTAAGCGCAATGAGTCACCGGGCCTCGGCCCAGAGCAGAAGAAGGAACGGGGTTTTAGTCAGTAAGAGTCTAACACTCACTCTCGCTTTACCCTGGGCGGGAGAAGACAGTTGATGATTTTCCCCTGACAAAAAAGAAAAGCTAATTTCTTTCTTAGCGCTTTTGGTAGCCTGTCACATAAAAAACGCAACGAATTGTATATCCCACATTAGCTGGCTTATAGAAAAAAAAGAAAACAATAAGTTGTTTCTTTACTCAAATTTTATTTACAAAATATAGTTAACAAAATAGGTAGTTACAAAAATCAATTTAGACCTTACTTAGGTGTATTTAGAACCTAAACTGCAGTTTTTTTTAGTCTCAGGTATACAGGTATACAGGTACATAGAAAAGGGTACCTAATTATAATCTTAAATCTAACATGAATCCTACACCTTACCTAAAATAAACAACCTCTCACGCAAGTAACAATTTTTATATATAAAAAAGCGTAGTCATGGAAACCTGGGTAAACACAAAAACAATATGTTTTATCCAAGTTATATTGTGTAATATATATCTACTTCTATTTTTTATCTCTCTTTAAAATAACGTTGCACCACACTAGGATTTTTTTCCTGTTATTCCGTACGGAAATCGTAGGTACCCTCGACACGTTGCACACAAAATTATTTTATTCGAGAAAATATTACTAATTTTAATAAAGCTACTTTATAATACTTATAACGTAAATATTCCTTTACAATGAGACTGTCGAATACTAAAATAATTACATATCAGATTAGTTATTCTCAAACATACACAATATATCATTTGTTTAAAACAAAGAACAACAGTATAATGTTTGACAGCTGTCATTATTGACAGGTGTCACGGTTGACAGCTGTCATTATTGACAGGTGTCATCGTTGACGCATGTCAAACTTTAGACATCTCAAATGAAGGTGTCTACGCGTCCATGGCTATGACGGTGGGTGTGGCGGTATCTGGAACGATGGCTTTGGACGTGGTCATCCATCCGCTGAGCCAGTAAAGCAGGAAACCCCAGAATAGACAGTTGACTATCACGTCGACCCAGTACATTCTGGAAATGAGGATTGGAAGTTAGATTCTTGATTCGTGGCAATAGGTTTTTTTTGTGAGAAAATGCAACCAATTTTTTTGAGACAACCTCCCGAAACCACTGCAACTCCTATAAGCCAGGATGTAGGTACAATAGATGTTTAGAGGTATGAGGAACAGGGTGGAAAGTTCCTCATCCTCCATTGAAAAGGGAGGATCCTCCGACCAGGCGAGGTGTTCGTGCCTGGTGGGCTACTGCCCGACAATTATTGTCGAGATCTTTCTATTGTGCCTATTAGCGCGTATACTTCACTTGCGCGATGTAGAGCCTGTTACGCCATCTGTTGATTATTGTTTCTCCATTTTTATGTGATACTGCGTGTGTGCGATAGATGTCGCTACAGATGCAAAAAATTAAAACACCGGAACACTGAAATCCAGCGCGTTCCAGGGACATGAATGACTGTCTCTGATGAATCTGAGGAATAGGTTAGGTATGTAGTTGTTTCTCAAAATGGGGTCATTTTGGAAAAAGAAATACTTAAGAAATAGGTTTCTAATACGTCAAAATCTCGCTGTTTCACCATGCAGGAGGGCTATTCCTATCCAACCAATAGCTTGGAAGGGATTCCTTTGGTGTTGTGGATGTGCAAAGGCGACACTGCTTGCTTACCATCAGGTGACCCTCGGCTCGTTTGCCATGCAAAACCATACTCACATTCTCATATGTCTTCTGGCAGCTGGTAGAGTATCATCATACTCCTTCAGGATGAAGATTCGAGCTGCTCGGATGCAGTCTTCGAAGTATTTTGAGATATCCAAACCTGATGGTACATAAATAACATTTTTGTTAGCTATTATAGAGGATTATTAATAAAATAATATTAAAAAATATTTATTTCTATTACAGTTAAAAATTGATAGTCGTTCAGTCCTCTTATGCCCGGTTCCTATATTTAACGAATCGTCGTTGTATACGCATTACGACCAAATGACATTACGAATAGTTATCTTGACCGTCTACTGACGGTTAAAATATTTATAGGAAAACCACAGACACCATAGATCTCCATACAATTCGCTTACCGATATCCGTTAGTTGCAAACCGTCAGTAAGTTGCACGACGAGACGTTTGTTATAGGAACGGTTTTAGCTTACGAGTCGTATATAAAACTACTATTCGTAACTAAAACGGATCTTTTCTCAATTATAGGAACCGGGCATTAGTGAAGATAGATTACTAGTAGATTCCGATGGAGAAGAACGAATAAGAAACTCCATGTTTACGATTTTTCAATCACATTCACATACAGATTATTTGTTACATTATAAAGTTGGTTCTATTACATCTGCTGTCATCGTTATGGCAAACCCCCATTTTATAGGTGATGTTTCACTGGATACCGGTGATGATGATGGCGAGAATGCTGAATGATTTCTGATCGAACTTCGAATCAGTAAAAATAATGAAAACCTATCGCACTACCAGGGGAAAAAGTAGCATTAACGTTATTCCAGACTATTCTATCTCTGTGTCAAATTACATTCAGATCAGCAGTGTGATTCTGTAAGACTTCATTCTAAACTTCGAATCTGAATCCGCTGTGAGTAGTAGTACACTAGCGCTACACTTGCGAGTTGAACTAAATTGACAGTAACATTTTGATAGATAAAGTATGAGATGACGTTAAAAGTAGCATTCTATAATTTAATATCCCCGTCACTTCGACGCTCACTTCGTACTCGAACAAGATTCAAATATAAACAAATTTTATAGAATCGATGTGCAGATCATCAGTAGTATTCATATGAACGAGTAACAACACAACATCAACATCCATCCGTACTTACACACTTTCGCCGCTTACAATTTGTAGGGTAGTCATAATTTTCCAAATATTAAGCGTTAAGTAATATCTATCTATCTCACTCACCCACAGCGTCCACCTTATAGTCCCGTCTCTCTTTGGCATTGAGTTTCTGTCTCAGAGTCTGTGCGATATCTGATTTGAAATCCCATTGGTTGTTTGTGTAATATTCAAATACTTCAAAACCTTTGGTAATACGTCGTTGTACACGGCATAGTCTGAAAAAAAACATAAAATGATCAATTTGATCCATCAGGGATTGGCAGCATTAATAGGAAAAAGAAAGTGGTTCAGGACGAATGGGTCGGCTCGACCGGAGTAATACCACGGCCTCACAGAAAACCGTATGTTTTAGAAGACCCAAACCTTCTGCCTTTATCCCAAAACCAATTAAATCACTACAAAGTACAAAACAAAGTCGCTTTCTCTGTCCCTATATCCCTATGTACGCTTAAATCTTTAAAACTACGCAACTGATTTTGATGCGGATTTTTTTTTATAGATAGAGTGATTGAAGAAGAAGGTGTATATGTATAATAACATCCATTAAATAGTGGAGAAATTCAGTATTATCATTGCATCGTGCGAAGCCGTGGCGAGTCGCTACTACCTAATAATGCACATAAAACCGATAACAAATTTGCAACTCCTGAGACTGGTTGCCATGGGTATCCATAGGCGACGTCATTTGCCTACCACCAGGTGATTCAACTGCTAGTTTTCCACCTTTTGCAATGATAATAAAATGGATTTTTTTTAGGGAAAAATCATCAAATGTCTTTTCTCGCCCAGTGTTGGGCTGAAGGGAATGTCAGACTCTTTTTGATTAAATGTCCCGCTTTCCTTCTCCTTCTTAAGGCCGAGTCCACGTTACCTTACTGGGTTTGCTCCGCAACCCCGGCAAATCGACTAAATCTAAACTTTTTATGAGAGCATAGGACAACTCACACTGAGATACTCGACTAGTTTCAAGCCATGTCACACTGTCACAGTAGCAGCGCGACATTCGCCGTGTCGCGTGTCGCGGAATGCTGCTCATGAATATGGGCCTCTAGCATGGCTTGAAACTAGTCGAGTATCTCGTCAAATTATTACGTGAGTAAGCCGAAAACATAATATTTAATTTAGAATGTCTCACGAAAGTTATAATAAAAACTCACACTGGCTTATATCCTAGGCAGAAGAGTAGTGTGTCAATGATAAAGGCAGGGATCCAGTGGAAGAAGAAAACACAGATGTTATGGTACATTCTAGAGTGCTTCATAGAACCGCCTGGATACCTGTGAACAATAGAATTTAGACATTAATGTTGAAGCAATTGAGTTTGTTTTCGCAAATAGTGTAAACGTCAAAACTATATAACAAAAAACTAGACGAAGAAGTCATTTCGTATCTGACTACTCTAAAAAAAAACACCGAAACAATCTCAGAGAGTAGTCTGATTGAAAAAGAGTACCCATGTAGTTTCTTGCTCGTTCTTCTCCATAGGAATCTACACTTTGGAACGAGCAAATAGCTTCACTAGAAGACAGACTGACAGACTGACACGCTTAAAGTTAAAGCCCTTGAAATAAATTTTTTCTTTTTTTTTGCTTGACGTTAAAAAGTGCATACTGTGGTCTAATTGAAATAAATGATTTTGTCATTGAGTTTGACTTTGTCTTTTTTAAAATTCAGAAAATGTGAAAAAATAATATAGTGTGTGAGGACCGTGCAAGTTCATTCTGTAGTAGTCTTTTGAGGAAAGAACCACACCAGTTTAAGTGGACCAGTTCAATCTTGAACTCTTTTAATAATTGCCAAGTCAACCAAAACTTCCCCAAACCGCTACATCTTCTATTCAACAGAATCTACAATAGACACAAAATAGAAAACACCAAAATCCGCACCGGAGCATTCCAGAGACATTTTTTTTTATGTAATAGATCGGCAAACGAACAGACTGATCACCTGATGGTAAGTAATCAGCGCTGCCCATGGACACCCGGAACGGAGGAGTTACGAGTGCGTTGCTGACCTTTTAGAGATTAGGGATTAGGAGATTTAGGGATTGAGGAGGGATTGGGGGTGGGGATTGGGCATCCGGTAACCTCACTCACACGGCGAAACACAACGCTGTGGTTGTTTTACGCCGGTTTTCTGTGAGGCCGTGGTATCACTCCGATCGAGCCGACCCATTTGTACCGAAGCATGGCTCTCCCACACTTAAACAGAAACTATCTTAGATTCCGCAACGAAATAAATCTAAAGATATCCCATTCCAAATTGATTGAGAATAACGACTTACGTGAATGAACTAGGAAGGCTCTACTAGATCCAACTCACAACAAGACTCTCATTCATGAGCAGCGTGCGCGGCGACGTCGCGTAGCCAACACCGCATCAGTTCTTAGTTTGTTGTAAGTCATTATGTGTATGGGAGAGCCAAGCTTCGGCACGAACGGGTCGGCTCGACCGGACGACCACGGCCTCACAGAATACCGACGTGAAACAACCACAGCGTTGTGTTTCGCCGTGTGAGTGAGGTTACCGGAGGCCCAATTCTTCCCCTCCCCCGATCCCTAAATCTCCAAAACCCTAATCCCTAAAAGGTCGGCAACGCACTCATAACTCCTCCGGTGCGGGAGTCCATGGGCGGCGCTAATTACTTACCATCAGGTAATCCGACTGCTCGTTTGCCGTCCTACTCCATAAGAAAAAATTAAATATCCGATTTCATTCCCAAAAGACGGGCAACGCTTTCCTTTAGTGTTCCAAGCGTGGCGCCTTTTGCTTACCATCAGGTTATCCATCTGCTCTTTCTTCTACGTTACTTACCATACAACTCCATTCAAAGGCACCCTGTTCATGATGATCTCTCTCCCAGCGTCTATCATCTCCGACCAGGTCACCTTGATCTCAGCCGATGACGTAAAGTTTATTATGTTGCATTTTTTGTCGCTGGAAATTTAAGAAAGAGTGGTTAAAAATATATTAAAGTGTGACATTATTATCTTCTGTTCTCACATGACACTCTTCGTGGGCACAATATGGTCTTCTCCCATCCTTCCTTATCAGAAGTTATCACATCAAAACCTCCTTTCTCTTTCATACCATTCCTCACACCATCTGTCCAGCTTTTGTTTCGAAGTTCTGGGGGCTAACCAAACCATGACATTCAAAGTTTAGAGGTATGAGAGAACAGGGTGGAAAGTTCCTCATCCTCCATTGAAAAGGGAGGATCCTCCAACCAGACAAACGGGTGTTATGTCTGGTGGGCTACTACCCGAATATTGTTGTCGGGATTCTTGTATAGGTTCTAATTGTATAGAGAACTCTTATACCGCGATGTAGGATCTTGTACGTGATTGGTGCTGTTGTTAATGTTGTGCGATAGATGTCGCTACAAAAGTAAGACTAAGAGTAGAAACAGAGCTATACAAGTTGTCTAGCTCTGTCTCTTACCCACACTAAAGTTAGATTAAAACAAATTTGAATGTCATGGTTACTCCAAACAAAAAAATATCTTTTTGCTAATTACAACTAGATATTTAAAAAGAAAGTCGCTTTCTCTGTTCCTCCTTATGTACGCTTAACTCTTTAAAACTACTCGACGGATTTTAATGTGGTTTTTTTATAAGACAGACTGATTGAAGATGTAGGTATATATAATTTTATCTTCAAAAAAACGTTTTCCTACACTAGAATTTTCTCCAGTGTCTTAGGTGCTTTTACAAACATACAAATTCACATACACACACATGCTACCCAGACCCGAAACAAAGTGTTGTTCCGTGCGGGAATCGATCCCGCTGCACGTTATACATCAGCTAGTGGTCTAGCTACTGCGCCAAACATGCAGCCGTCTCTGTATAATAACATCCATTAAATAGTTGAGAAATTTCGTATCAGCACTACACACCCGTTTCAGGCTAGGGCGGGTCGCTAGTGTGAGATATTTTTGTCTAAAAACAAAATATAAGTATACATACCCATTCTTCAAATAGTTCCATGCGACTATCATTATCCCGTTTATAAAAACGTCGACGGGCAAGTAGTCAGCATAACTATTACTCTTGCAGTACATTGATCTGATCACACCCTTACCAGCTCCTGAAAATGTTAAATTTCATATGAAAACTTCAACTTTCCAGTTTTTTCAGAGAGTATGCTCTGAGTCTTAGCTCCTGATATTTCTGGTAGATAGATAGATAGATAAAACATTTTTTCAACACAAACTATAACAGCCACGAATTAATTGACAAATAAGTGGATCATCATCATCATCATCATCAGCCTGTTTTCGTCCACTGCTGGACATATGTCGATGTGTGTGCTCGATGTTCAGCTCTTCTCATCCAACCACTGTCAGCCACCCTGCGGATATCATCAGTCCACCTAGCTGGGGAGCGCCCTACACTACGTTTGCCTAGACGTGGTCTCCACTCTAGAACACGTTTACCCCAACGGTCATCGGTTCTTCGACAGATGTGATCTGCCCACTGCCACTTCAGTTTGTTAATCCTTTGGGCTATGTCGATAACTTTAGTTCTCTGTCGGATCACCTCGTTTCGAATACAATCCTTCAGAGAGACTCCAACAAGAAAATCAAACAAAAAAAAAATTACGTATTAGACGGGTAGTAAGAAAGAAAGAAAATAAAGAAGGAGAAAAAGGAAAAAAATATTAATAAAATATAGCGCAGTTCAGTGATTCTTTAGTTTGCACCGAATGGGAGTCCAGCTCAGCATGTGTCAGGTATATACATATATATATATACCTACCTAATGTAATTTAATTGATTTTATCCTCACAAAAAATACAGAAAAAACCCTTGGATGGAGACAGGCTGATGATGATGATGAAGACAAACTTACCAATAAGCAATCCTGTGGGTCCATTGATATTGTCAGTCCAACCGGGAACAGGCTCTTGCCAGATTGGAATCACTGGAAAAAAGAATGCAGTTAAATTTTTATAAGCTGCTTTAAAGGTCCGTTGATTTTTTTATTGCTGGGTGGGGGGGGGGGGCAGACGAGCAGATGGAAGAACTGAGGGTAAGCAATCGACGGCGCCCATCAACACTTTTAAATGTGGAAGACCGGAGTGATACCACGTCTTCATAGAAAACCGGCATTAAACAACCACTGCGGTGTGTTTTACCGTTTCTGTGAATAAGGGTTACTGGAGACCACATCCTTTCACTCTCCCTCAATCTTTCCTCAATCCCTTAATCTCTAAATCCCAAATCCCCAAAAGGTCAGAAACCCACTCGTAACTCTTCTGTTGTTTGACATGGGCGGCACTGATTGCTTACCATCGGGTACCTAATCCGTCAGCTAGTTTGCCGAACTATCACATAAAATAAAACAATCGCAAATGCGATTCTTTTTCGATGCCAGGCTTGAGAATTCTTTTCATCTTCTTTTAAGTTCAGAAATTGCTTACCAATCGAAGGTCGAAGTACCATGGCGGGCAGATTAGCTTTCTCCATGGCTTCCACGACGAGGGCTTCAGCTAGAGCCTTGGTAAAGGCATACGAGTTCGGTAGCTTGTTTAATAACCTGAAAATAAAAGCATAAAATAAAAGCTTGAATACCATGAAAATCAAAATATGTTGGTCTTCTGGAGAAGTTTATGACGAAGAGTTTCTGATGAAAACTAACTGCTCTCGCGCAATTTTACCAGCTTTTCGGCTTCTACAGATCGTAGCGTCATGTTTTATAGCTAAAAGCCTTTCTCTATAAATGGTCTATTCAACGCAAAGAATTTTTCAATTCGAAGTAGCACTTCCTGAGATTAACGCGTCCAGACAAACTCTCCAGCTCTAGGCCGAGACAACTGTACTTCATTGCGCTTATCCCACAACCCGTAATCCTGATCGGCTTTTTATTGCCTAAGATTGAAGTCAGAAAAAACTGAAGAATTTCAAAAACACCTCTTAAGGTAAAGAAGGGTCGGCTCGCTTGAGTACCTACCGCTAGAGTAGTAGGCTCTCTAGGCCAAGGTTTTATAATGCAATCCATGTGCCCTAGATAACACTGAAGTTAATAACTCTTGCCTCAAGGCTATCTAACAAATCGATTCGCCGGACGATGGCAGCAGTGAAAGGAAGTGCAATTATTGCACCATTGTGGTGTAAATATGTTTAAATATTATAGTTTTTTTGAATACATCACATTTAATAGAAATATCCTTTGCAAGAACACTGGTCAAAACATCGTGAAGGAATCTGAGACCTATTTTTTTTTATGTAATAGGTCGGCAAACGAGCAGACGGATTACCTGATGGTAAGCAATCAGCGCCGCCCATGGACACCCGCAACGGAGGAGTTACGAGTACGTTGCCGACCTTTTAAGGATTAGGGGTTAGGGATTTGGAGATTTAGGGATTGAGGAGGGATTGGGGGAGGGGAAGGATTGGGCCTCCGGTAACCTCACTCACACGGCGAAACATAACGCTGTGGTTGTTTCACGCCGGTTTTCTGTGAGGCCGTGGTATCACTCCGGTCGAGCCGACCCATTCGTGCCGAAGCTCCCACACTTAAACCTAAACACCTATAATTTCTTATTGTAAGTTTTAACTCGCCAATCCGCGTTGAGCGAGCGTGATGGTTAACGCCTACCTTCTCCGTGTGAGAAGAGGCTTTTGCTTAGCCGTGGGCAACTTATAGGCTGATCATGTGATGTGTGTAAAATGTGTTTTAAATAGGCAGTGCAGGTTATTAGTTTTTAAAATTTGTACCACACTATGATTTCCTCCTGTGTCCGTGGGTGCGGTTACAAACACATGACACCCAGCCCCGGAACAACAATTTGTGGATCACACAAAGAGTTGTTCCGTTCGGGAATCGAACCCGCGACACGTTGTACAGCGGCCAGCTGCCCAACCGCGCCAACCGTGTTCGTTGTTTCGTCACAAATAAGTATTTTAGAAGGTATTGATAGAATTATCCTTCGCAAGAATACTGACCAAACATCGTGAAGGAATCTGACACCTAAAATTGCTTATTTTAGGTAACTGAAATTGCCAATCCGCCTTGAGCAAGCGTGGCAACTGGCAATCAAAGCTCAAGCCTTCTCCGTGATAGAAGAGACAATTGTTCAGCAGTGGGCACTTATAGGCTGGTGATAATTCGCAAGAATGCTAATTAGAAATGAATCCTCAAGTTGATCAACATCTTTAAAGTCTATCCAACTTACTTGGGCGTCATATTAGCAATAGTCTCCTCGTCCATCCATTCAACAGCCTGGATGATCTGATGAGGATCTGCTGGTGGAGGGTACGGCTTCTCCTCCAAGAGTTTCTCATGAAGATGGCAGTAAGCCGTCGATATATGAATAAATACCTGCAAGAAATGACAAGTTAAGCAATTAAGTCAAAACATCAATTTCAATCATAAAGGTCAGTGTAGCTTTCTGTATTTGAGAGGGGAAAATCATCAAATGACTTCTCCTTCTTCTGCTTAGGTTGGACGAGAGGGACTTCTTTAAGCTTATTGACTAAAGACTGCCTCGCTATTTCTCCTGCCCCAGGCAGGGCTCGCGGTTCATATAGCGCTGGCATCTGCAACCCCATGCTGGACATTCCCTAGTAAGCCCCATCTGTGGTAGTCTTATGGTCTACTTCTGGTCAGGCGACGAGCTACCCTTGCTTTCTGCCCACGCTTACGATGGAGAGGGCGATCGGCGTCAGTCAAGCCAATTGTTCGTTCGAAAATGTAGATTCGTATGGAGAAGAACGAGCAAAAACCTCCATCGTTTCATTTTTTAGTTTTACTTAGAGATGGTATATGGATTAGGACGCAAACGAGCAGACGGATCACCTGATGGTAAGAGATAAGCACGGCCCATGGAACTTGCAGCACCATAGGAGTCACTGGTGCATTGCCGGTCTTCGCTCGTTTGTTGAAGGTTTGAAGGTCGTGTCGGTTATTTGATAAAACGTTGTGGACAGACAAATGGTAGAGAAAATAGTGTTTTTAAAGAGAACAGATTATCCTGTCTTACCAGATTATAGCAGAGAATGGAAAAAGAAGCCTGTGTCTTCAAACATTTATTGCAGTATCCATAAAAAACCCCCTAGCACTACTACATGTTACACAGCTTGATACACGCAGTAGTTACAGCTGTGTGCTGTCTGACACACACTCAGACACCGGGAACGAGAGAGTTTTATCTTATTGATTGTAAGTGTTGTGTAAATATTAAGTGTGGGAGAGCCATGCTTCGGCACGAATGGGTCGGCACGACCGGAGTGATACCACGGCCTCACAGAAGACCGGCGTGAAACAACCACACGTTGTGTTTCGCCGTGTGAGTGAGGTTACCGGAGGCCCAATCCTTTCCCACCCCTAATCCCTCCTCAATCCCTAAATCTCTAAATCCTCCGTTGCGGGTGTCCATGGGCGGCGCTGATTACTTGCCATCAGGTAATCTGTCTGCTCGTTTGCCGAACTATTACATAAAATAAAAAAAAAAGATTCACAAAACCCCTCTCAAATAAACCTAGACCTTTCAAACTACGATCTGCCATCTTTCTGACAAGTAGGGAGATAATGGCAAAAGTCTCATAAGAGCCTGGTCTCTACATGTGATGGTACGCACCTTTAAGTTCTTACAAGCCTTGCCCAGTTCCACCATTAGCTTGGTACCTCTAACGTTTAGAAGAACGGCCTTTTTCAGCTCTTCATCGAACCTGAAATAAATGATTAGGAGTCAAATTCAGAACCATCTCCAAAATCTGCAAATATAATATTATAAAGAGTTATATGTAGGGGGTAATCTTTGGAACCACTGGTCGGATTTCCTAAATTCTTTCACTGATAGATAGCTGCAATGATCCTGAGTGCTATAGGCAATATAACACCATCCTACAACCAATAGGAAAAGAGCAGCGGGTAAAACCGCGCGGCAATAGCTAGTTGCTTATAAATCAAAAGTGTAAGAGAGTCAAGTTTCGGGACGAATAGGTCGGCTCGAGCAAAGTAATACTAAGGCCTCACATTAAACCGACGTGAAACAATCACAGCGTTCTGATTTGTGGTGTGAGTGAGGTTGTCGGAGGCCTAAACCTTCCCCTCCCCCCATCGTTCCTAAATCCCTAAATCACCGAAACCCTAATCCCAAATTCGCTGGCAATGCACTCACCATTGGGTATCTCTGGCCATATCATCACATAAAAATAATAATAACATTACCTGATGGTAGCCGCAGCGTGAATGATGATGTCGACCTGGTTGATGATCATCTGTCGGTCTTCTGGACTCATGCCAAGATCTGGTTCGGAAACGTCTCCATTGACGATGGTCATCTTCGCCAAGAGCTGTTCCACTCCACCTCTCATATCCCGAAGTTTTTCGAAAAGCTGCAATTTAAAATAGAATACGATCAAGTATTATTGAGCTTTGAAATCTTTACATGGTAGTCATGTACTTGATTGTCCAGATGGACTTCAATGTCATGATGGCCCAGAGACTAATATCCCTGCTTCGCATACAAGAAAGGGCAGGCCCGAAATCTGGCAAGTACCAATGTGACTTTTTCCGAGTTATATGTACTTTCTATGATTATTTAGACACCACTGACATACGGTGAAGGTAAACATCGTGAGGAAACCTGGACTGCTGACAACATGATTGGGGCGTAGCTGGGCAACTGGCTGCCGCGTAACGTGTCGCGGATTCGATTCACAAGTTGTTGTTTCGGGTCTGGGTGTCATATGTATGTGAAATTAATGGTTTTTAACCGCACCTACGACACATGAGAAAATCCTGGTGTAGGGAAACATTATTATATTAAAATAAAAATCTAATTTAGACACAACTGACATAAGGTGAAGGAACACATCGTGAGGAAACCTGGACTTGTAATTTCCAAAATAATACAAGTTTGAAATCGGCAATCCGCCTTGAGCAAGCGTGGTGGTTAATGCTCAAACCTTCTCCATGTGAGGAGAGGCTCTTGCTCAGCAGTGGGCACTTATAGGCTGATGATTATGATGATGATGAATGCACTTGAGAATGTGGCCACGCTACCCATAAACCAGTTTGAATCTATAAGTAGTTACATGTAAAACAAATACAAGATACTTATTCTTAATCCTCAATAACAAAAACAGGTTTTAATTCATACAAAAATGGCAATAATTAATATTAAACCACTAAACACCGAGTTAAAATTAAGTGTGGAAGTGCCATGCTTCGGCACGAATGGGTCGGCTCGACCAGTGTAGTACACGGCCTCACAGAAAACCGGCGTGAAACAACCACAGCGTTGTGTTTTGTGTGAGTGAGGTTACTGGGCAGCCAAACCTTACACTCCGCCAGTCCCAAAATCTCCATATCCCTAATCCCTAAAAGGCCGGCCATATCCATTGGCGACGATAATTGCTTACCATCAGTTAAATGCCTGCTCGTTTGCGTCCATCACATAAAAAAGAAGATACCAGTCCAGCAGTGGACAGTAACAGATATACTTTTTTTTATGGTATAGGTCGGTAAACGAGCAGACGGATTACCTGATGGTAAGCAATCAGCGCCGCTCATGGACACCCGCAACATCAAAGGAGTTGTTGTCGAGTGCGTTGCCGGCCTTTTAGGGATAACAATTTAGGATATATAAGGATTAGGAAGGGATTGGGCCTCCGGTAACCTCATTCACACGGCAATACACAACGCTGTGGTTGTTTCATGCTGGTTTTCTGTGAGGCCGTGGTATCACTAGGGTCGAGCCAACCCATTCGAGCCGAAGGTTGGCTTTCCCACATTACTTTTCTAATAGAACGATTAAAAGTCTTAAATATATCATGTCATAAGGTACAAAGTTGAACACTTAATTCAACGTAGGTAATCATTTCTGCAGTTCACGCTTAACTGACTTAAGTAATGCACTTTTTATAAGAACCATATTGCTTCAGATGCAGTTTGTAAGCCTTTGTTTTATGTTGCAACTCAGAACTACATTTGAACATTAGCTCATGACGATACCCAAGTACGTGTGTCGCCTGGACAGTCAACCTCGCTACATCCTTGTTGACTGGACATCTACACTACATGAGCTGCTGTTTACATGTGAACATTAGCTCATGACGATACCTAAGTACGTGTGTCGCCTGGACAGTCAACCTCGCTACATCCTTGTTGACTGGACATCTACACTACATGAGCTGCTGTTTACATGTGAACATTAGCTCATGACGATACCTAAGTACGTGTGTCGCCTGGACAGTCAACCTCGCTACATCCTTGTTGACTGGACATCTATTCTACATGAGCTGCTGTTTACATGTGAACATTAGCTCATGACAATACCTAAGTACGTGTGTCGCCTGGACAGTCAACCTCGCTACATCCTTGTTGACTGGACATCTACACTACATAAGCTGCTGTTTACATGTGAACATTAGCTCATGACGATACCTAAGTACGTGTGTCGCCTGGACAGTCAACCTCGCTACATCCTTGTTGACTGGACATCTACACTACATGAGCTGCTGTTTACATGTGAACATTAGCTCATGACGATACCTAAGTACGCGTGTCGCCTGGACAGTCAACCTCGCTACATCCTTGTTGACTGGACATCTACACTACATGAGCTGCTGTTTACATGTGAACATTAGCTTATGACGATACCTAAGTACGTGTGTCGCCTGGACAGTCAACCTCGCTACGTCCTTGTTGACTGGACATCTACACTACATGAGCTGCTGTTTACATGTGAACATTAGCTCATGACGATCCCTAAGTACGTGTGTCGCCTGGACAGTCAACCTCGCTACATCCTTGTTGACTGGACATCTACACTACATAAGCTGCTGTTTACATGTGAACATTAGCTCATGACGATACCTAAGTACGTGTGTCGCCTGGACAGTCAACCTCGCTACATCCTTGTTGACTGGACATCTACACTACATGAGCTGCTGTTTACATGTGAACATTAGCTCATGACGATACCTAAGTACGCGTGTCGCCTGGACAGTCAACCTCGCTACATCCTTGTTGACTGGACATCTACACTACATGAGCTGCTGTTTACATGTGAACATTAGCTCATGACGATACCTAAGTACGTGTGTCGCCTGGACAGTCAACCTCGCTACGTCCTTGTTGACTGGACATCTACACTACATGAGCTGCTGTTTACATGTGAACATTAGCTCATGACGATACCTAAGTACGTGTGTCGCCTGGACAGTCAACCTCGCTAAATCCTTGTTGACTGGACATCTACACTACATGAGCTGCTGTTTACATGTGAACATTAGCTCATGACGATACCTAAGTACGTGTGTCGCCTGGACAGTCAACCTCGCTACATCCTTGTTGACTGGACATCTACACTACATGAGCTGCTGTTTACATGTGAACATTAGCTCAAGCACTTAAGCCACATTTTCAAAATTGCTGTGTAAATATTAGCGGTTATAAAGTATCGCCACAGAAACCATAACCTCACATTTATTTGACGCAGTCGAGTAATTGCAAGAGGCATTAATCGTAAGCATAACCTTGGCACCAAAACCTGGTTGTCACAATATGCAATGTAAGTTCATAAGTACGTGTGTAAACCGCATTCTCAGAAAATGATGTACCGAACTCAATGGGATTGTGTAATTTGAAAGTTTATGTTTACTTTCGTCGTGATGTCGTGAGTTATGAACTAGTGTTGTTAGTCGGATTTCCTTGCTTTTTGGAGAAGATTTCGTCATAGAAGTGTTGCTATCATTAAGCAAAACCCGGCAAATACCAATGTGCCCTTTTCTGAGTTATAATGTACTTTTTAGTTATTTAGACATCACTGACATACGGTGAAGGAAAACGTCGTGAGGAAACCTGGACTTATAATTTCTAATTATAAGTTTGAAATCGCCAACCCGCATTGAGCAAGCGTGGTGGTTAATTCTCGAACCTTCTCCGTGTGAAGAGCGGCCATATAAAGGCCTTTGCTTAGCAGTAGGCACTTAAGTATAGGCTGATGATGAATGTATATTTTTTCATCATATTTTTTTTAAATGTCGCAAAATATACACCAATAAGATTGATAATTTGTGACCAATTTCTCTTAGATTAAGGCTGATTTTACAATGGTTAGATACAAATTATCTGGGCAATAATTATGATGCTGTCGCGTCAAAATGTTTGTATAAGACAGTGACAGCAACAATTTTATTCCTCGTATAACATTTATCTGACTATTGAAGAATCACCCCTTAATATGACATCAATAAATGAAATTATATAAATATACAGAATGTGTATATGTGTATATGTCGTGGTGGCCCGGAGGTTAAGGAGCCCGCTTCTCATGCATGAGGGTGTGGGTTCGAAACCTGGCCTTTTCCGAGTTACATGTACTTTCTATGATTATTTAGACACCACTTACATACGGCGAAGGTAAACATAGTAAGGAAACCTTGACTTATAATTTCTAATTACAAGTTTGAAATCGCCAACCCGCATTGAGCAAGTGTGGTGATTAATGCTCTTGCCTTCTCCGTATGAGAAGAGGCCTTTGTTAGCAGTGGGCACTTATAGGCTGCTGGTGAATTGGTGATACAGCGTGTTATTTTTAGACGATGGACATAATCAAGGAGCCGATTTTGGTGCTTATTTGAGCAACTTTTTCCATAAGACCAATATGGCAATCCTCAAAAAATTACTTCTCCATAATAAATTATCAATAAACTGTTGCTATTTGTAAGTAAGGAAATAAATATATTTTTGAGATTCCGATAGATATTGGTCCCATGAAAAACGCACGCGACTCGGCGATTACCAGTAGCAGCGCGACAGTCGCCGAAGCGTGTCGCGGAATGCTGCTCATGAATATGTGCCTCTAGCATGGCTTGATACTAGTCGAGTATCTCGTCAGATTATTACGTGAGTAAGCCGAAAACATAATAATTAATTTATAATGTCTCACGAAAGTTATAATAAAAATGAAAAAAGTTTTTGTTATTGAGCACTGAGATCGGCTCCTTGAATATTCTGCGTTTAAAATAAGCCTGTATTTATTCGAGTTCTTAAATTGGTACATAGATTTTTTCGATAACAAATTATTTTTTTGTAAGAATGTTACAAAATGGCCCGTGCACCCCATAAAACTGCTCTTTTCCACAGAAGTGTTTTTTATCTGATACCCGACATTTATAACAAATTGCCAAAAACAATAAAAGATTTAGAATTACATAATTATAAAAAGAAATTATTTAAATTGTTAATAGACAAATGTTACTTTGATACTCTAAAGGATTATTTGGATGATATATGAAGGATTATTTATATAATTTGTGTTTATGTTTATAATTTATGCTTATAATTTTAATTGCAGTCTTGATATTATTATGTGAATTAATCTATAATCTAATTGAAAGTTTATAAAATGTTACCTTAAAATTATTGTATGCCATTATGGCGGGTCATAGCTGTGTACAATTTAAAAACCATGTAACAACTCACTGTTTACCTATGTACCACAATAAAGAATATTTGTATTTTTATTTGAAGTACGATTCGAAGCTAGTCGGAAACAAAATAGAATAACTAAAAACTAACTCAGTATAAATTATCTAACCGAATTATTACTAAATATTTGCAAGAAGAACGTCTGTAGTTTTGTATTGTTGACCTACTTTTGTTAGCTAGCGTAATGCTATTTCAAAACTACAAAGTTTTGTTTTGTTAAGTAATTACCAAAAACTATCTAAGCAATCATTACAAAATTCGGAACAAAATATTTCTATTATCCAAACTATTATAATTATAAATTCGAATGTAACTCTCTCTGTCTGTCTGTCGTTTCTTTACGCTTAAACTACTGAACCGATTTCTGTGAAATTTGGTACAGGCATCGTTTTTTTTTTTTATTTAAACGTTGCCCCACTTTAGGATTTTCTCCTGTGTTGTGGGTGCGTTTACAAACATACAATGTCACATACACATGACACCCAGACCCGAAACAACAATTTGTGGATCACACAGTGTTGTTCCGTGCGGGAATCGAACCCGCGACACGTTGCACGACAGCCAGTTGTCCAGCCACCGCACCAACCGTGAGTTTGCAACTCGAGAAAGGACATAGGATAGTTTTTAATACCAAAAATCAGCAGGATGTCACTAGTCCACGCGAACAAAGTCGCGGGCTAAAGCTAGTAGTATTATAAATGTAAAGGATTGTGAGAATACGAAAGAAAAACAAACAAACAGACATCCGTACATGTATGTATGTTTGTTATTCTTTAACACAAAAACGGCTAGACCGATTTGGTTAAATTTTGGTGTCTACATAGTTAGATGAAATCCTTTTTTTTTGTAAGGAAAACATCATCAAATAACTTCTCCCGCCCATGGTATGGCGAGAGGAAGTGTCAGACTCTTACTGACTAAAAATCACACAGTTTTTTTGTTGTTTTTTTTTATTTTTATTTTTTTAATTTAAAACGTTGCCCCACATTAGGATTTTCTCTTGTGTCGTGGGTGCGGTTACAAACATATAATTTCACATACAAATGACACCCAGATCCGGAACAACAATTTGTGGATCTCACAAAGAGTTGTACCGTGCGGGAATCGAACCCGCGACACGTTGCACGGCAACCAGTTGCCCAGCCACCGCGCCAACCGTGCAGTCACACAGTTAATTCAATAAAACCCGAAAGCCGGCGTTCGCGCACTATTGAAAGGTTAAGGATACTTACAGGGCCACTGAAGATTTCTTCCAACCTCTGTTTCGGATTTTTGCCCTTTTTGGCCCTCACGAACAGATATATCTGCTCGATGTCTGGACATTTTCTGAAATTGAAGACAATGTCACCATAGAAATCATTGATTATTAGAAAGCAAGGTACCTAAGCGTATTGTGGGAGAGCCATGCTTCGGCACGTTAGGATCGGCTCGACCGGAGTAATTTCACAGTCTCACAGAAAACCGGCGTGAAACAATCACAGCGTTGTGTGAGAGGGGTTACTGGAGACCCAATCCTTTCCCTCCCCCAATCCCTAATACCCAAAACTTTCGTACTAGTTATTCTTCTGTTATTGCAGGTCCCCATGGACAAGGCTGATGGCTACCTACCTTGAGTTCTTGATTGCCCAATAAGAAATAAATAAATTTCAAACCACTTTTTTGTGAGGAAAATATCATCAAATTGATTCTCCCTCCCATGGTGAGACGAGAGGGAGTGTCAGACTCTTACTGACTAAAAACCCCCCGTTCCTTCTCCTGCTCTAAGCCGAGGTCACGGTACCATATTGCGCTTTCCCGCAACTCTGGCTGGTCAAACTGACCTGATGCTGCATGAGTGTCCCAAGGAGAGCAATGCAAAGTTTTTTGAAAAGACCGGCTATTCATAAGGTGTTCTGTAGTGGTTCTGGTGTCCACGATCGTCACTGACTGCTTAATACCAGGTGTTCCATTCGATCATGAATAAATTCTTGGTGATGCCATTACGTGTGAACGGCTTAGCCGATAACAAGAAATCGTTTTATGCCGACCTTGCCAAGGTCAGTAGAGGTCTAGGTCATTTTTTTGGAAAGTAGAGGGAGAAAATACAGTTATACCAACCCTTTTAGATGTCAGGGTTGTCCGCTAACAAAACAAATGACTGACACAGTCATAGTTGGAACCTTGCGAGGTATCCCAAAAAAAATGCGTGGTTTATCAAAAATATAGGTGTACCTGAGCAGTTTTTCGACGAGAACCTTCCCCATGAAGCCAGTTCCTCCAGTGATGAGGACCTTCATGCCGGAGAAGGTGTCCGCGATACGGTCAGGTAGACACTCGAGCTCTGCGCTCGATATGGTCTCTGATGCCATGATTCTGCGAAAAAACATCAATTTTTAATTATTGCCTTCATATTGGTCAAAGTCAACATCCAAAGTCTACAGTCAAAGTCAAAGTTAAAGTCAAAGTCAAAGCCAAAGTCAAAGTCAAAGTCAAAGTCAAAGTCAAAAACAATGTCAGAGGCAAGAATAATTTATTACAACTCAACCATGTACGCCACGTTTCACCTTTTGAAACGTGAAAATAGAGTTCAATCAGTCTGTTTGCCAGTGAAGTTAGGTCGTTCCAAATTGTAAATTCGAATGGAGTAGGACGACCAAAAACTCCAGCGTAACTCTTTTAAAATACATAATGTTTTACAAGCTCACCAATACATTTTTAATACACATTATCTGAGGACTGGTTAACGGATGGTCCTTAATTTACTTAGTAAAAAAAAAAAATATTATTAAAAAAACAAAATACCCGACTGCACACTAAAAAAAGAGTAAAACAAGCCCCACAATACAAATTTACTGAATATAATTTATAAATGTTGATGGAAAGCATCGCAGGCGGGGACCAACAGAGGCTTATTTATAGTCATTTCTGTTGTGCACCATTTAGCAGAATTTTCGTTGGTGGCGGTCAAGGTGGTCCCCGCCTGCGAAGCTTTCCATCAACATTTATAAATTATATTCAGTAAATTTGTATTGTGGGGCTTGTTTTACTCTTTTTTTAGTGTGCAGTCGGGTATTTTGTTTTTTTAATAATATTTTTTTTATTTATAACTTTTTAGCTGTTTTTATTTAGAAAAAATATTATTATGTCTTTATCCCGTGGGACTTTTAGGATAAAATGTATCCTATGACACTCCCGTAATCAAGACAAATCTAACGATACCTCATACATCAAAATCCATCAAGCCGTTTAGGCTACAGGAGGTCACAAAGGAAAAGACATACATACATACTTACATACACTCGAAAAACATTACCCTCCTTCTTTGGCAGTCGGGTAAAAATAAGTCATATCAAATTTTTGAAGCAATAAAATATTCTAAAGTAATCACATTTTTGATGTGATAGTTCAGCAAACGAGCAGACGGATTACCTGATGTTAAGCAATATGCGCAGCCCATGGATACCCGTAAGACCAAAGGAGTTACGAGGGCGTTACTGGCCTTTTAGGGATATCAGGATTTCAGAGATTAGAATTAACGGATTGGGCCTCCGGTAACCTCACTCACACGGTGAAACACAACGCTGTGGTTGTTTCACGCCGGTTTTCTATGAGGTTGTCGTATCAGTCCGGTCGAGCAGACTCAATCGTGCCGAAGCATGGCTCTCCCACACTTTTCTTCGTTGATTTTACAATATATGTACCTAACATTTGTAATTTTTTATACTTATACTTCATTTTGAAAAATCTTTGACTGCACGGGTCTCGGTCGCGGGTTCGATTCCCGCACGGAACAACTCTTTGTGTAATCCACAAATTGTTGTTCCGGGTCTGGGTGTCATGTGTATGTGAAATTGTATGTTTGTAACCGTACCCACGACACAAGAGAAAATCCTAATGTGGGGCAACATTAAAAAAAAAAAATACCACCTAAGGGATGATTTTTCAATAGTCAGATAAATGTTATCTGAGGAATAAAATTGTTGCTGTCACTGTCTTACACAAACATTGTGACGTGACAGCATCATAATTATTCCAGAGGTAACTTTTTCTAACCATTGAAAAATCAGCCCTAAATATGATATTTGACGAAATACATTATGATATCCAAATATTGAATTTTTAGACAGTCTAAGTTCGTAACGTAAAAAATAGATGTGGCCACGTAAGAAATGTATTATACTAATATTACAAAGAGGTAAAATTTGTAGGTTTGTATGTAGGGGGTAATCTTTGGAACCGCTGGACGGATTGCCAAAATTCTTTCACTGATAGATAGCTACAATGTTCCTGAGTGCTATAGGCTATAAAACATCACGCTACTATCAAACGGAGCCGAGCAGCGGGTGAAACGAGCTGGAGTAGCTAGTATTATATATACTAGCTTTTGCCCGCGACTTCGTTCGCGTGGAACAGAGACTTCCTCGGATTTCTGGTTTTACCAACATAGTTCCTGATCTCGTGGGATTTCGGGATAAAAACTATCCTATGTCCTTTCTCGAGTTCCAAACTATGTCTGCACCAAATTACACACAAATCGGTTCAGTAGTTTAGCCGTGAAGAAAAGACAGACAGACAGACAGAGTTACTTTAGCATTTATAATATTAGTTTGGAGTTTGTATATACATATGTATGACACAGTTTATCTTTTGTAATATTTAACTGTGTGTCCATTCTAAACCACGGTTATTCAACAGTTAACTAGTAAATTTAACTGGTAGTTAGTAAGACTCAAGGACTTTTCCCGCTATGGTGCAAGCGCTTAGTATACTTTCACTCGAATTTCAAAACTTAGATTAAACTTTTAAACATCCTTGTGATAATGTTATGATATGAGATTAATGAGGTTAAGCTACACTTGTTGAGGTCGCGAAATGGATGGGTGGTTTTTTTGTTTGTTTTGTTTTGTTTATGAATGTGTCGAAAAATTTAGTAGTGAAGTGGGAATCATTCTGGCCGATCTCTGTCAACTTCTGGTGCATAAGTCCATATGGGTATGCTACACCCAGGTCAAGAGTGGAGTTATAAAAACGTGAATACAATAGTACAAGACTCTGTTATCTACTTTAAGACAGGTTCAAAAGAGAAAAGTACGAAAGCCCCACCCTGGGCGGGAGAAGTCGTTTTATGATTTTCCTCTCACAAAAAAGAGCCTGTTTGAATATGTTTCTCTCCATATGTCTGCCAGCAGACTATTCAATAGAAAAGTTATTCTCTTTATAATGTATTCGGTAATTCTATCACCGAAATTTGAACACATGTATGTAGTTATGCTAGACTCCAAGGTCGGCTTGGCCAATGGTAGTACGCAAGACTTGAACGCGAGGCGTAATTACGGATATTGCTACCACGAAACATATAGTACGAAATACCTACATACGAAATGTCTATACGTTTTGAAATTTCTTTATGAGTATGTAGAGTTTTAGCACCCTTGCTCTTTCCGTGGGTGTGATATACCCATTATACATAGATGTATAGACTATAATTTCAAATTATAGGTAAGTTTGATAATATCGCCAACCGGCATTGAGTATCCGTGGTGATTAATGCTCAAACCTTCTCCGTGTGAGAAGAGGCCTTTGCTCAGCAGTGGGCACTTATAGGCTGATGATGATGATGATGAAATTTCAAATCCTTATTGATGTCATGTCATGTCATGTCGTAATAATCGCGTAAACAAAACAGTTTCTCTGCTTACCCGCTTAATAGATTTCTGTGTACCTTGCATAATATTGTCTAAGCATATTTGCAAGTTTCCCTTGCTTATGAAAACTAGTATACATATTTGCTGAACTCATTTAAGGTGTGACAGCTTTGTTTGTCAGGGGAAAATCATCAAATGACTTCTCCCGCCCAGGGCCGAGCGAGAGGGAGTGTCAGACTCTTACTGACTAAAAACCCTCTGTTCCTTCTCCTGCTCTGGGCCGAAGTCGCGGTGCCTCATTGCGCTTCTCCCCTCTTTGCGAGCATAACTGCTTTACAGAAGGAGGATACGAAGTCCCAGTTCCTCTCGCTCCGCACCATGGCCTCGATTAAGGCCGGGCGCGAGAGGTCACTGCCACCGGTCACTTCCCTGAGGACACGGCGGTGCTGAGCCCAGGCAGGGCATACCGCCACCGTATGCTCCACCATATCCTCAAGGTGTGACGGTTACACAAACATACGTATTTTGGTACGAAACACGGCTATTAGGATCCATGATATTTCTTCATGTCTTTAGGACCGCACCTGACTATAGTCTTTTAGTGTTTTCGTGGCTGTATCTTCTTAAGATCCTGGTGTACTAAGTTTTTTTCGTACTTATACTCATCCAATGTCTTCTCCCGCGAGAGAGAATAGGTCGGCAAACGAGCAGACTGATTACCTGATGGTAAGCAATTAGCGCCGCCCATGGACACCCGCAACGGGGGAGTTACGAGTGCGTTGCTGACCTTTTAGGGATTGTGGTGAGGTTTTGCCGGTCGTGGTATCACTCTGGTTGAGCCGACCCATTCGTGCCGAAGCATGGCTCTTCCTAATTAAAAACCTTAAATGTAGGGGAGTCAAGCTTCGGCATGGTTGTGAATCATTGGAAAAGTTGGAATGGTTCGGCTCAACCGAAGTGATACCACGGCCTCACAAAAACTGGCGTGAAACAACCACAGCGTTGTGTTTCGCCGTGTGAGTGAGGTTACCGGAGGCCCAATCCTTTCCCCTACCCCCATTCCCTTCCAAATCCTTAAATATCCGAAACATGATTCCCAAAAGACCACCAACGCACTCGTAACTTCTTTGGTATTGCGGGAGTCTATGGGCAGCGCCGATTGCTTACCATCAGGTAATTCGCCAGCTCGTTTCCCAACCTATCTCATGAAAAAACTGCCCCGTTCCTTCTCCTGCTCTGAACCCGGCTACAGTAATCATAACCCTTGATCCAGAACCTTGACAGGATTCCCACAACAGAAGCCATTCCTACAAAAACCTCATTTCTATCGACTTCATATTACCAATACACCTGCGCAAACCATAGTAAATATCTTCGCTCATCTAATAATAGTTTCCTCAACTGTCCAACTCATCACTCAAAATTTCTTCACTCCTCCTTTTTTGTTCAGGCTATTCTTCTGTGGAATGCGCTACCCCCCGATGTCAGGACTGTGACTAGTCGGCTGACATTCAAGCAGAGAGTTCGGGAGCTTCTTCTGAGTAGGGTTGGGGAGTCATCGCGATCATGACTACATGACTACATGACTACATTTATGTATATATATATATGTGTGTATGTATTTATATGTGTAAGTAAATTAAGTAGTATGAGTTTTATAAATATATGTATATAAGTATAGTTCTATGTACTTTATGTATGTTTATATAAACCTATGTTATACTCATA